TTACTCTGCATTAGATGCGTCGGGTCTAGTTCGTTCTGGAATTCCTTAAAGCATGTGTCATTTTCTGTGACCCAACTCTTCGGTAGGCTCCTTCCCTGGAAAAAAAAAAAAAAAGGATTTGTAAATGGATGATGCTGCCTGAAAGAACAAAGATTTTACACCCAACTGTGACTATTCAGCACTCGGTTGGTGTCGGGTTACGCTTCCTTTAGCGGCCGTCTCCTAAGATTTGTGTGAAAATGTCCTGGGTAAAATTTAGATGTAGATTTCCTGACCCTTCTAGAACAGTGGTGATTCTGTATTCATCCAGTTTTTTTGCTGCCAAAGTTGACGTACACATGTAGGTGAAACGGTGACATCACTGAATGGGGAATTGTTTCCAAGGAATTAAATCATCGTGAGGTGTTTGAATGAGAAGGAGACGTGCTGCACGGGCATGTAAAGATGTGAGTCACGCCGTGTCTGGTGCATGTGGTCTGGAAGTGAGGTCACACCATGTACCTCAGGCATCTTAAACATGAAATCTGACTCGCTACGTCAAGCTGTAGACATCTGTGACAGATGACCACGTGAGCTTCTTATCGGATGCTTGGTCCACCTCATCCTGTCTGCGGACCGTTTTCTCTTTCGTTTTCGGTTGGAGATCAGAATTACACAGGAAGTCACCTCTAATCTGATCGGCCTTCTGCAATGATGTCGTTCACAGGAAGCAGCATTCCTGCCCAGTGAGAATCACCAGGAAGGATTGAGCTGCAGCATGATGCACCATCTGGGCACCTGCCATTTTCCCATGTAGACTAGTTCAGACAAAGACTTATCAGATTACTCGCCCCTCAGTCTGTTTCCGTCACCGTCCCAATCGTAATTGTACCTGTGAAAGAAAGAATTGTATCTCTGAAAGGTTCTTTAAAGGTCTACCGCATAGCTTTGCGCAATCTCATTCGCAAACCAAAAATCAAAGTGAAACATTTCAAAGCCTGTCCTTATTTTCTCTTTTGTTTACCCCACAGCGTATGCCTGTCTGTGAACAGAAGAGTTGTGTTTTTATCATCATAATTTAGGCTTATTGTGTTGTATTCCTCATCCAGATTTGCCTCACCTGTTATAGACTCCCTGTTTTTTTTTTTTTAACCATGTTGATGAAGTGGTCCCTCACTTTCTCCACCATGGCTGTCTCTTTATCTTTATGCCATCCAATTCAGAAGATGAACAACAGTGCTGATGTACATACCATGTTGCAGCCTTTGATTAGAAGGGTTTGTACCCATGAATTCACAAAAATAGCTTTTATTGTTAATCATTTATCAAACATGTTCTATTGATATTTCATTCTAATGTCATATTAAGAGATGGGGTTCAGCTTGGTTGTGTGATGTAAAGTAGGTTTCCGGAAGAAAAAAATTGGTTTCAAGTAAATACAAAATACAGTCCGCTGTATTTTATGATCACAATGCCTTCAGTGGACCCACAGCTCCATTTGGGAAATGCAAATGGAGGGATGCGATCTGTGATCACACAGATTAGTTTTTCACGTTTATTGTGACTTTGCTGCAAAAATACCAAATGTATTGGAGTGCACACACTGCTATTAGCCGCACTTGGATTTAGATTCAGTCGGTGTGACTGCATAGAGTTGGTATAGTGTTTGTATCCAGGTGGGTGTGGCCCCTCATTTGCACTGCAAAACCAACAGAAAAAAAAAAAACCTCAGCATAAGGTTCATGCAAATGTGTGATGAACCAAAAAAGGCTTCTCTTTGCTTTTCTAAGCAAAGATATCCTACCAAGTTAGTGGTGGTGTTGTAGGAAGGTGTTGTTTGCTTTCTGATGGGTTTGTGTAAATTAATCTGCCTTTAATGGAGGTTTCTATGTACACAGGACTTCAGCAGCTCCACTTTTTTCATTTACAGGTCGCACCTGTTCACTTCAGCATAGATTTGACTGAGAGGGCACTATCTGCCCAGTTAAAGCACTCTTGACCTTATAGATCATATGAGACAGAGATGTGCATTTAAAGAAAAAAGCTGGAGTCTGGCTCCAGAAGTGAATGCACCAAGCTGGGACTCGGGACTGTGCTTGGCACTTTGTGTGGAACACCAGGTGTTTTTACAGTCAAAACACAGTCAGGCAGCTAATCAGCGGTGACACAGTGAAGGATAGGAGGCCACTGTGCCTCTCATGTGTCAAAGGCTTTGGCCCATTTTCTCAAAACAGCCAGCTATTAGTCTGCAATGGATCTGTGATTAGAGAGAAAGAGCCACAAGCTCTTAGGACTCAGTACTCTTGCCCTGTTCTTATTGATAAGTGCCACATGTGAAAACACACACCAAACGTCACGTTTTTAATCCAACGCCACAGGCTGAATGAAAGTAAATGTAATTCATAAATCGGAGTGCATAAGAGGGCAGATATCTGCTGCTGCTGGTGTATCACGGCGCTATCTGCATGTCTGGTTAATAATAACTCAGAGTTGTGCCGGCTTGGATTGTAAATACTGGAAATTTGTTGAATAATGCGTCAGGGTTGACTTGAAAGTTAAGGTTTTCATTGCCGATATCTATTTGATGAATGGGATTGCTCAGGAAAAATAACTGATGAGCAAACAGCTTCCCATGCATCCACTGGTTTGTGTGCTCGGCCTCTTATCTCTCTCTGGGTGACCGTTGGACTTTGTGGTGCATTTTGGGGAGTTGTTTATGCCTTGTTGTAGCTTTATCAGTGGTATTGTTTGTACATACTTTACCCTACCTGAGTGCAGCCATTTTCCATTATTCATGCTTATGCATGCCTTTATTAATTTATAATGCAAAATGGAATAATTTTTTATATCTACCTTTTTTGATATTCAAATTTGATTCACTATTCTTAAGTCATAAATTACATTCATAGAAAGTGAGACACCTCATTGTTGCAAGAACTGCAAATGAAGGATACAAATGGGTTTCATTAAAAGAATGCTACTAACTTGCTAACCCTAATCATGAAATGGGATTACCTGAAGTTGACCAGGAAGTGACAAACGTGTGTAAACTGTTGTTTTACACATGCTGCTCTTAATCTCACGTCCCACAAATGCCCACGCCTCAGTCTGCAGGCTCCAGTCCTGCCCCCACCTTCCACTTCCTCCTGGAGAGGACTTTGTGCCCTCTTAACTGAGGGCCAGTAGAGCGACGTCTGCTCTGATGTGGAAGCACACATACGAGCGGTATCTCCATCCTACACGACTGACAGGATGCCCTGACCGCTAAACCGTACGAATAAATGACCCATCTGACCCTGTCTGATGGAGGAGCTTCTGGAATGAAAGCGTTTTGCTGCTCTCTGTGTGCTATAATGCATCTTAAACTCGGCTAATACACATCCCATCACCATCTGCCTTCTTTCTGCTGTGTCATGCTGGCAGCGTCTCAAATGTCTTTATTTTTGGCTATTCCACGGCCTTCTGCTTGCTGAGCTTCCATGTCCACCTGGACCTGTTCAGTGCTACTAAACGTTGTTTTGTTTTTGTGTGCATTACGTTATCAGGAGCTTTGTGCACAAATTTATTCCAGTGAGGGACGGCCACTCTTTTTGTACACACCCTGTGCACACAGGAAAGTAAAATCATAAATCAAACTGGCCGAACAGAATACTTAAACGAGAGCAAATAAAGAGTTTGTGTAGCAGTGAAGGAGGGAAATGTCTCATGTGACTTGGGTGCTTCTCTGTGGAGCTGGGGATCGGGTTTGTGAGCTAACGATTATCGATCGGCTGTATTTACTTCCCTGCTTGACCATGTGAAGGCCGGCGGTCAGCGTCCAGCTTTTTTCTGCCGGTTGTCGTATCGACCCGTCAACCCTGGCTGCTACAGCCCATGTGTCATTACGTAACGGCCCGGTTTGCCTCGGAGTAACTGCCGCTGCTTTCCAGCCGGGGCCATGTGAACGGCTTCAGCCAGTCGGCTGTCCGGCTTTTTTCTGTGACGGATGATAGCTTTCAGGATCTGCCCTGTCTGAGGAGGACTGGAAGAAGTTAAAACGTTGTGCAGGGGACACGTCTCTGAATTGGCTTTTGTGTAAATGTATCGGTTCGATCACCTTTTATGAATTCTAAAAAGGTTTATCAGTAAAAAGATGTCGGTAAGATGTGTATTTTAGTGTGAACTCTGCTGTCTAGCACATTCTGGTAAATGGTAAAAATGGTTTTGGTGCATTTTTGTTGCAATTTCAAAGCTGAAATAAAAGGAAAAGTCTCTTTTTGTCCCCTTTTTGCATGTGTCCCACTTTTTCCACCTTTAAATCCACTTTCAAAGCTTTAAAAAGAAATACAATTTAGCACCTTTCCTCCGGGTAGTTTGTGTTGACGTTATCAGCTTCACAGAAGCAGTGTGTGGACAGAGATACATGACTTGTATTCATGTCGTCTTTGCATCTTTAAAAACAAAGCATTTTAAGACCTTTTTTTTAGTTGCATCATGAGACCTTTCATTGATTTTTTTTTTTTTTGGGGGGGGGGGACTGCAGGCTGATTCATGAGCTACATTTAGTTGAGGTGTATGTCTTAATCAGCAAATAAACCCATTTTTCCTGCACTTTGGGTTTGTGTTCTTCCTATTCATGTGGCAGCTTGTCACTTCAGAGCAGGAGCGCTGGAATTGTGCTTCAGTGTATGTACTAATCTGCAATTTCTCGTGTTTTTTTGAAAGCCTTGTTTTGGACACACTGCTATCAGGCTTGCACATATTTGCTCACAGATATTGCACATCTGGTAAAGTGGGTGTTCTTTTTTCTTTCTTTTTTTCTTCTTTATTGAGCAACAAGGGTAAAGACGAATGTCTGCAGTTTTCTTTTCCTCCTTCTTTGCAAAGATTGTGAGAAATCCTGATTGAGCAAACACTGTGGAGGAGTGACGAGAGGGAGTGCGATTACCTGCTGCTCCTCTCTCTCCTCGTAGTCGCCTCCCCTCTCAGGGAGTGTACAAACTCCTGCGCACTGCCTCTGCCTGTTCACACATGCACTGGGCTTCATGCTGCACACACACACACACACACACACACACACACACACACCCACCAGCTCCTCTGGCTCTGTCCTAAGAAGAGTCTCATCCCAGAGAGGTTCCGGACTTCGGACGCGAGGAGAAATCGGCAGATAACCTGAGCCGAAAAAAGGATTTTTCTCTTTGTCTGGCTGGCCACCTGAGACGGGGAGTAGCTCTCTCCTTATTCGAGGACCTGCTCCTGCTTCTGCCGCTGACGACTGACTCGACAGGGTGAGTGCCGCTGAGCTCCAGCGCCGCCTCACTCACACACACCCTCTTGCTCAACTGAGACTTCTTTTTCTTTTAATGTCTTTGACAAAATGCTGCCACTGATCTGTTTCTGCAGGTCGGCTGTTATTGATCTTTCGCTCTTTAGGCCTCTTTAGTGTGTTTATGCATATGTTCGATCCCACTTTTCCCTCTAGGATCCAAAGTTAAGAGTGTGTTTGTGTGTGTGTGTGTGTGCAGGAGACAGTGAGGGACAGACCAAAGTCGTTCTAAAAACCAACTTGTTGGCTCAGAGTTCGTGTCCACTGTGCTTTCGAATAACTTTCATTTGATTATCCTGCCGCCCCAAAACGTGGATGAGTGGGCTGTAATTGGCTGTCATCAGCGTGGAAGAGTTTTCTGCTCTTTGCTGAATGTGAGACCGAGGCTGCTCTCTGCAGAAAGAGTGACATCACCGTCCAGCATCCCAGTAAAGTCATCTTTACCCACAGATTGCTATGTGTGCTGGCGTCCACCCTTCAAAACTCTGCCATTCAATGAAATGTGCACACTGTGGTTTGAACTGCCGCCTCTTTATGGTCTTTAAATCAGGCTTTAAATCGGAAACACAGGAGCATCCGCCATTGTTAGTTTTATATATTATACGTTTTATGTATGTTTGAATTAGAGCAAATATGGGCCAAATGAACACAACACCGAGAAATATTTTGCTCAACACTCAAAGAAAACATCCTGGTTCGTGTTTGTTATTGGACTGCAAAAGCAACTCTTCAGTTAGTCTGAGTGCAAGTGTGTTATCTCATGTCATGTGCCGGCTTACAGAAGGCTCCATAAGTGGAAATGCACCCTTCATCCTATGGTTTTCTAATAACATGGATGTCTTTCAGCAGCTAATGGGCTCAAAGCACATGAGCTGTGCTCTCTCGGAGAGCTAATGGAAAACTTTGCGGAGTGAACTCATGCTAATTGGAAACTTCCCTACGTTGCTTCAGTAGACTTCGGCTTTGGGATTTTGATTTCTCTGCTCCTTGGCTGGATTAGAGCTACAGTTTAAACAAATATTTAAGTGAAAATGAAAGTAAATATGAATATATGTACACACCTGCTCACTGTGCGGGGCTCATCTACTATTTCACTGAAGATTAATGCATTTCATTGTGTTTACATTCACTTAACGTTTTACCACCAAGTAGTTTTTTTCTATAACCTGATGGGTTATTTGTTAGTTCAGGCAATAATTAATTGTTTATTACAATTTTTGCGTCATATCAGTGGCCTGATAAGTGGATCACGGATACAAAGGCTATAGTTTGGCCTTACAAATTCTGACACCTAGTTAGAGATAATAAAATCTCCAAAAAGAGACAGAAAATAGTCCTTGTCAAGTTAATTTCTCCTAGGACTTCACTGTTTGAATTTGGATCATCCACACCCAGTTTGCCAGACTGCTGTGTTTGTTAATCATTACCCCTCTTTTGTTTTGCGATGAACTTGTGTACCTGTGAAACAACCTGCCAGAATAAAGCACTACGGTGGCTGAATCTGTAGATGTGACGTATAAACACGAACGCCGTAGCTGAATGGGCCCTGCAGCGATGCATTTGGACTTGTGGAAAGGTTAGTTTTGGTGAAACAGAAACCTTGATCTCTGAGGATGTTTATGACAGCTGTTCCAGGTAAATGTAGGGAACACACACACACACACACGCACGCACGCGGATATAACCTGCCTCATCCTTTGACGTGTGATCTATAGAACTAAAGCAGCTATTGGATTACCCAACTGGCTGTTATCTTGCTACAAGACATGATTTGTAAGCTGCCATGTGTGAAACCAGTCAGCGTAAGTGACGTTCGCGCCCAATGGAACGCACATTGTGAGTGTACGCATCCACACCTGTACATTCCTCATCTACAATTTCACGCTGAGTGTTTACAAAACAGTACACCTACTGTCAGCGAAGGCCGGGCTCGCGCCGTTGACCAAGAATCTCGGTTGATTTAGACTTTAACATCAATAAGAAAACTTTGAACTCCCCCCTTGGCTCTGAGCAGGGTAAGCCAAAGAGAGGAGTGGCTGCCGGTCTACATGGTTTTGAGCCGTGAGGTATTTCAGACAGCCTTCAGGTGAGGAATAGGTGAATATCTTTGCTATAAATACACAAAAACATCGACAGAGCAAACCAGATGTAGTGTTTTTTTTTTAAATCCATATCTGCGTTTTCAGTTCAGTTTCATGACACTTTTTACAGCCCCCATAATGCGGTTACTGCTGTGACTCACTGCTCAGGGACTAAAATAAATTTCCCTCCGACAGAGAGAACAGCATTTCCTCTCTCTTATTTTGCCAGACACTAGGCACCATCAAAGAAGTCCTCGTGAATAAAGCCATTTCCATGCCTGGCTGTCTTTTGATCAGCAGAAAGCCATGGTAAAAATAGCCCGAGTGGTGTTTTCATCAGCTCGGCGAGCAGCCGCCCACCCTGCAGCCTGCTGATACCTGCTGCAAGATGCAGCCGGGAGGAAACTGCCGCTGGCCTGATTACAACCTGCTTTAGATGTGACAAGTTGTCTTAGCTGGCTGCTCTTGTCTTGTAAGTCTCAGCAATACATGGATGCTGATTATAGCAACCCAGATGCGCAGCGGTGTGTAACTGCATGTCGCTCAGAGAGCGACCCACTAAGCGTCTTCACGAAAACATGCATCTGCTGCTTGATTTATGCTAATTTTAGCAAAAAATATCTAGTAACACGAGGCTGGTAATACCCCAGTGCCGGTTGTGAAGTGAGTTGTAAACTCTTCTGCCTCTTTTGCATTTTGATGTGTTTGTGTTCCAGTGAGGAAGTTGGCTTTTCAAGCACTTCGCTTTGTTATCATTAAAGGCAGAAGATGTTGAAGAGTGACTATTTGGTAGTTTTCTTCTGTCAACGGCTGTCAACATAATCAGAAAAAAATATGAATCCTAATAACTGAATGAGAAAAAGGTTCTATGTCCTTATAAATTTGTTGGGAAAAAGGATCCGTTATTTAACATCTATTGTGAGTGCAGGTACTGTGGCTAGACATGTACAATTCCTTTAGATTTAGGGTTGGTGGTTTTGGACCACTGCTTTTTTTGCGCTTACATTATCTTAATCCTAACCCTTACCTCTACCCCCCCCACAACTCCTTCTGTGGTCCCCTCTACCTCTATCTCTTGCTGTCACCACTGACTCTGATCAGTGTTTCTCCTCTATATAGCTTATTGTCATAGTGATGAGAAATGTAATATTGTGTCTACTCTGTAAGTCGCTTTGGATAAAAGCGTCTTCCAAATGCATAAACATAAACATAAAGCAGACATAATCTGGATTTGGAGTCGGTGACGTTTGCTTGTTCAGTTGGTGCTGGAGTTGGTTTCTTTAAGCGTTCCGTGTCCTCCCACAGTCCAGAAAGCTGCTAACAGATGACTGAATGAATGGAATTGACCAAACTTGGATGAAGAAAAGAATGCAATTCCATTCATCAGTAGTTCTTAATTCAGTTAAGCGAGCTGAAACCTATTCTCTGACATCATGTTTCTTTTCCTATAGAAGCTTTGGCAGGGAAAAAAAAAAAAGAGGCATGTTACTGAGACCATGCTAAATTCTGTTGGTCAAGCTCCAAATACTGAGCAGGTAACTGTGGGGGTGCTTATGGATCAGAGTCTCATATGCAGGTCTAGTGAAGTTCCCTGTCAGATGTGGAGACATTCCTGTGTGACAGCATGTGGCTCTCTGCTGTGGCCTCAGGGCAGAAGGTGAGAGGAAGAGGAGTAAACCGAGACATGAAGTCATGATCCCCACCCATCCATTTCTGAACAAGTCCCCTTTATTTATTTCATTTTTCACTTCGCTTTTCTTCTTTGCTCCGCTTCTTTCAGAAAAAACCCGCATCATTGTAACTATTTTTTTACGTGACACATCGATGGCAAAAAAAAATAAGAACGATTACATGGTTTGCTTTGTTTGTCTCCTTTAGCTCTGCGCTTCTTCTGACTCCACTGACTGTTACTCGTGATTGGTTCTTTAAACCATTTTTTTTGTGTGTGTAACATCTTGCCCATCAGCGTTCTCCACCCTAACTTAATTCATAAGTAATGACCTTGCAGCAGCAGGCAGAGAGCCAGGCAGAGTAGCCGAGCAGACATGCTGGCTGGCCAGGCCTCGTCCCAGTGGACCAGAGCCACTTATCCCTCACAGTAATGACATATGCATCGACTGACTCCAGGGCTAAAAAGAGACTCTGGATTTGGGGAGTCTATTTTGTTTTGTATTCGGTTTTCTATTCACGATGAGTTGGTGTTGGTGGTTCACTTACTAATTGATCCCGTTTGCAGACTATCTTTAATAACGACTTGTCTTGAATGGAGCTTTCGATTGTTAAAACAATGTAAAAGAATATATATGAGAGAGAGATAGAAGAAAAGAAAAATGGCAAATTAGTCCAATTCAAAAGTTTCCATTACAGGTTAGCTCTTTTTGCTTTGTACTATGCACAATCATCAGCTTCATCCTTAACATTTATTTATAAATATTTCCCGTGTGTGTGTGTGTGTGTGTGTGTATATATATATATATATACACACATAATATTGGACCAAACCTCTTTCTAGAAATGGCAGCAAAACTCAGGATTTAGCCTTTTGTAGCCTGTCTGTGCTTTGTACAATATAAATGCTGCAAACCTTAAAATATTGAGGGGCTGTGTGATGACTCGTTTATCCAATTGACCAGTACATGGCTCCCGCAAACATCTGACCATCTCCATCTCTGCCTCAGGCTGTGAAAAAGGAGCAGGGTCCCATTAAAGCAGCTTCTCCACAGTAATTCATGATGGATGACTCCCCTTGACTGACCTCTCTTTTCCTCCCTCCTTCCTCAGATGACATGGCGTCCCCAGTTCCGCAGCTCCAAGTTCCGCCATGTGTTTGGTAAAGCTGCCAAGGATAAGTGCTACGATGGCGTGCCCATCACACGCAGCGTGCAGGACAACAACTTCTGCGCCGTCAACCCCCGTTTTCTTGCCGTTATCACGGAGTGTGCCGGGGGAGGGGCCTTCCTGGTGCTGTCCCTCCACAGTGTGAGTTTCTGCATTTCATACAGATTTACTGACAGGCCAGTGATCCCAAACTACGCAATCCTCAGGGTCCTTTACTCTTGTGAATTTCTCAATTTTTAAAGTGACTCCTCTCTAAAAGCCAGTTGCTTTTCCTGAAAGAAACTGCTGATTTATTGTGATGACAAAAGTGGCAAAAAAAAAGATATTTTAAGGTTGTTAAAGGTTGCAAGAGACGTTCCTGTGACCCAGCATTACACCGCAGCTCTTTTGTTACATTTTTTCAAAGGATGATCGTTCTGACCCTATGACTTTTTGACATTCATTGCCATCTTCTACCCCCCCACCCCCTTTTGATCAATCTGAGACATCCCTGTTTCCATTCGAGCACAGCTCACTATTTCAGCTCAAAGAGTGGACTGGTTTGTAAATGCAAAGTTTAGAGTAAGATTGACAATGCGGGAGAGGGACGTTTTATAAAGGTAACCTCTGTGTTATTTTTTTTCTTCAGTTTTGTCACCTCCGCTCCAGAATTGAACATGCATCAGCTTTAGGGAGGCTCATATCAACTCATATCAAACTCAGGCCATCTTTGGTTTGTTCCATTGATTGTTTCACATGTTTCATGGCCGTTCTTTGCCCCTACATGCACACCACACCTGGATGAGAAAGCTTTGCTCTCTGATTTTAAACAGCTTCGCTCAAAGAATCCCGCAGTGTTGGGAAACATCAGTTTTTTGGCTCCATATCATATGAAGCCTGTTTTTTTTTTTCCCCCACTCCTTTTCCACTCCTTTTTATGATATCATCCCCCCTTTAGGATCAACAGTGAACCCACAAATGTAGATCCTTAGTGGGTTTTTGGGTGACTTTATTGCTTGCTCCACGTCATAAGTGATTCATCGGGCTGAGCACCTCTCCCTCTTTGTGTTTCTGAGTTATCACCACCTTCTTGGCATTCTTAAGAAATGAATATGAGTTTAGGAATGACATAACTCATCTTTTGATCCCCCGGCCTTACCCTCCTGCCTGTCTCGAGGAGGTGAAACCTCAGCGCCCCCCCCCCCCTCCCCACCATCACATCCCACCTCTGCGTGTGGACACAGACGTCTCAATACTCTTTAGGATGAGCGGCTAACAGACACGAATATGGGAGCATAGGCCCTTCTTTCTCGCGGACACGTTGGGAAAAGCACAGGAAAAAGGTGGCGGCGCTCCCATGTTCCTCACACACACACACCAACTGCACAGTAAACCTTGCCCTGCAGGCGTGTGTGTCTTGGCTGAAGGAGGGTTCCGTAAGAACTGAGAGAATTAGCCTTCTTGTTGAGGCAGAAAATCTCAAGTGACATTTTCCTCGTAATGGAATCCTCAAATCTGAAGGAAATGTCATAAGCATTTTGCGTAATTCTCACATGAGTTGCCGTGGCTTGATGTTAACGTGGTGCTCACTCGGGCCACATGCAGACTCAAATGCGTGCCCTAACCTGCACAGCACTGCAGCTCGGTTAGGCGCTGTGCTCCTCCATCTGTCGGGTTGACTTTTAAGCTGCTCTCGTCAATATTTTTCATTTTAAGAGGATCCCTAATCATTTAAAATGTCAGTGCGGTACTCCAGTGTCCGCTCACAAAAAAAGGGATGGCTAAACAAAGTCTGTTGTGGCTCTCCGCGGAGCTCTGTGAAGTCTGATGAATGTTCCCAGGGGATTATTTGAGTGAGTAATGTTGGCTCTAGCTTACAGGTCTCAAAGTCAAAAACATCTGGCCGTGTAAATTTAAAAAAAAAAAAAAAGAGGAAAAAAAAGCTCTTTCTTTTGCATACACTTACCTCACACCATAATACTGCAGGACTATATCGGCCATTCTGTTAGAAGTGCAAAGAGCATACGAAAAGGTCTCTTGGGTTCTGGAATGTCATGAAAGAATGAAAAAATATATATTTTATCCAAAACAGCATGACTCAGCCCCCAAATCGCAGATATGACATAGTGACTCCTAAAGGCAGTAATTAAGAAATTATTGGGTTATCTTGGGTTAGAAGGTCCGATGGCTATGAATAGGGAAACATTTGAAAAACTGCTTTTAATTCCTCCTTTTTGTTCATGTGATGATGCTTCCCTTAGGCCCCTGCGTTAAAACGTTTCCCCACATTCATGGTCTGAAATGACAGCAAAAGGCACAAATACTGTTGAGCTTCATTTAGTCCAGACATCTGAATCTATACTGTGTTTTGTTTTACTGTTTGTCTGCCATGCAGTTCCTCACACGGACATGAATGGGGCCAGTATTCTTTCTGAGAATACTTGGACACAAGGACTTAGGATCACAGAACTCTAACCACTGACCTTGCACTTGGCAGACAGTTGCACAGGAGTAGTTGGGGAGTGTTCAACTTTCTTCTTCTGTAGACATTCAGAAATAAGTCTTTAGGGAGGGTGTTCTTGGGTTTTGGGATTCTGCTGTGGAACGCCTGTTGCATCATGAAGGTTACAGTTTAATTGGTTCTGAAGGATTTTCATCGATCATTGATTTCATCTTTCATTTTTATTTTAACTGATTTCTCCATCTAGTTTTTCTCCACCCAGTTTTTTCTTGTGCATATTGGTGAAATGCGTTCTTATATTGACAGCATCACAATTTAGTTTTACCGTGCGGAAAATAAAGAGGAGGATAAAAAAAAACATTTTTATATAAAATCTGTGATTGCATTATTGGTAGTCTGATCAGTTGTAAAATGTCTGTGTTTGTGGACAAGAAAGAATAATAAGTAGCTTGCGTTATGCTAAGCAACTTGCAGAGGTGCAACTTTGTTTTTTTGTTATATTGTTATCCCCATTAGAAAAAAATACTGTTCACTTCCAGCATATTAGACCAGTTAACTTGTTTTATGAATTCCTGATGTACTCATTTGTTTCCTTACTTATTCAGCGAGATCAGCCATGTAAAGTCATCCCAACCCATCCTCGAGTATCGGGCCACAAAGGAAACGTGTTGGACATCAAATGGAATCCCTTCAATGACTTTTGCATAGCTTCCTGCTCTGAGGACACCACGGTGTGTATTGACGCAATCAAAGTACATTTCTAATGGTTAAAAACTGACATGTTATAATTTTCCAGAAAAATGAGCATGTTGCAGCAGGGAAAGGTGATTTTATTGCCTCACTGTTAAGCCTTCAAGAAGAACTAAAAGTCATTCCTCACATTCCTCAGCTCTGACCTGGCAGAGCAGCTCAGAACAAATCCCTGCAAAAAAAAAGAGAGAGTCAACAAGCTGCACCATCTCTTAAGACTATTTTCATAACATGTGTCTTCAAGCACTTGTCATTAGTTATAGATTGGATGTGATTCAGTGGTTTATTGTGTGGGTTTGTGTGTGTGTGTGTGTGTTTGTATGTGTGTGTGTGGTGTGTGTGTGTGTGCAGGTCAAAGTGTGGGAAATCCCTCCTCGTGGCGTGGTGAAAAACCTTACAGTTCCGTGGAAAGAGCTGCAGGGTCACAGCCGCAGAGTGGGCCTCATCGAGTGGCACCCCACTGCTAACAACATCCTCTTCAGCACGGCCTACGACTACCAGGTAACACGCTCACACACACACACACACCCTCTGGCACAAGCACCAGGTGTGCTTTCATTTCTATAGTGGTCATAAGGTAGCAAGTAATGAAGTGAATGCATTCTGTGAAGTGAGTATTATATAGTCGAATAATAATGCAGACAAACAGGTTGTGCCATAGTCCACATGGTTCTTGTGCTTGCTACTAGAGCTCGCAGCATCACAAGTAAGCAAGTCTTTTGCACGCCGTTTAGAAAGTGTGATCTAACAAACACTGTGTAGAATATGATATTTTGGATGCTGTACACCTTTATACTTTATACCTCCTTCCAGCTCCACTGTGAGCAGGGAAGGGGAACTGAACAAATTCTCCTTATAGCTGAAATAGCCTCAGTCTGAATTCAGAGGCGCAGTTGAGACACATGGTGTGAATTCCTTTTCAAGATAAGAAAAGTATGCTCTGTTTTGCTCATTTGTGCAACTACTGAGTACCACTGTTGGTGATAGCCAGCCTCTCGGCAGGATAAAGAGGAGGATAAAAAAAGACATTTTCATATCAAACCAGCCTCTTAGTAATCCCCCTAACTCGTTGGCCATCTTTGGAATTCGTTGTTTGAATAAGTTGTAGCTTTGCCTTGGGGTCTGACAAGTATCCTTTTATCATAAAACCTGCCATTAATTAAAACTCTTTAATGTGAAGGAATAAACCATCCGCTGATGTAAGTCAGTGGATACATTTTCCTTTAATCACACTCCAAGCTTAAAAAAAATGTAAAGCCAGTCCAACTTTTCAAAAGTGATTTGCTGGAATCCTGTCGGCGCCTTTTTGTCTCCAGGTGATGATTTGGAACCTGGACTCTCCAGAGCAGGTGATAAAGAACCCCGTGCGGACCATCAGCCACCACACAGACGTGGTTCTGTCTATGTCCTTCAACACAGAAGGCAGCCTGCTCGCCACCACCTGTAAGGACAGGAAAGTCCGGCTGATGGAGCCTCGCACAGGAAACCTGCTGCAGGTACTGCCGAGAGCAGGTTTGCTCCCAAATCCATTCAACAGGACTGCTTTGCAATTGCTAAATTTGAGTTTAGGGACTTGAAGATTGAAGATTAAATTAATGTTTGGGTCAAATTGAATCAGTTTTCAGTACATTGTTTTGTGCATGTCCTTATTAACGCAAGAAGAAAAGTCATTTCTGTTCTTTATGAATGCAAGAATGTAGTCACTAAAAAAAAACAAGCCCCCCAGACAAGCTGATTCCGCACCTCGGCCAATTTCAACCCTTGGGCATTTAATTCTACATGTTTCCTTGGTAAATTTCATCCAAAAATGCTGAACTGTTCTAACCTGCACACCTTCCCTGCCTCCCCTGCAAGCTGCTTTTCAAGTGTGTGATTTAATAAGTGTGATGTGTGCGATTGATTCTGCTCTGTTTTTTTGTTTTTTTACATTTGGAAATCTTTTCTGTTGCTCGTTCTTTTCTAATTCCCAAATTTCCCATGTTCGAGCGTGAAAGTACAGACAGGCTGTAGGTCTTACCTCCAAGAATAAACTGTTAACTTCTTTTATAGTTTGAGATTATTATTAAAGAAATGGTCCTAAAATCAAGCTTTATTAGAATTTTCCCCACTTGATTTTAAGATCTTTCACATGTCTGACCTTTCATTTTAATGAATATAAACCCCTTTATATTTAATGAAGAAGCGATGACTTAATTCTCATTTTTCCTGTTGCCCATGAGAAAATCTTTTTCAGCTCCTTTGACAAAGAGCATATTGGACCGTAACTCTTTGTAGTGTTTTTCAGAAGCCTAACGGCTCTGCATAAGTGGACAATTCCTGCTCCTTTTATCCTCCAACTCATCCAGCACTACACAGCCAAAACTGACACCTTTGGTCTGGCTGGATCACAGCATAGCTCCACAGACCTCTGGGTCACCAGACAGAAAAAACACCCGTTTACATTAGTCTGCGGTCGCTTCCTTTTTTCTCTCTATGGATGGGATATATATATATATATATATATATAATGAGAGCTTTTTTTGCTTGTCTTTGTGTTTATTTTTAGATTCAATTTCTGTTGGGTTTTTTTTGTACAGTATGGTTTCTTGTCAGAATTGTGAATGTGACTGTCCCATAAATTCACCTCCCACTTAGTCATGTAAAATGAGTGCAGTGTCAACTTGTTCTCAATATGGTGACCCCATTTTTATTTTGATGATGTCAGTTGTTTGTAGCCTCAGTGATGATATCACACTCCTCCATTGCCTCTCAAATATGTCACCACCTCAGATAATATGCTTTCAAAACAAACGGATGACTTGAACTAAATGAGGGCCAGTCTGAATACTAACACCAAGAGAAACTGACAATGTTTCACAATTGTAATTTAAAGCGTTCTGTCTATTTGACTATCTTAAGGTCGTTGTGTTATTTTGAGTTGTGTCTTTGTAAATTTTCCAAGTCTTCCAGACCATAAATTCCATCCAAATGCTTTGCTTTTTGGCATCTGGCTGGTGTAGCTGCAGCTTACATGTTGTGTGACCACATATCTGCTCTGTTGAATGAGCTGTGGGAAATGTTTTACCTTTTTTTTTTTTTTTGGCAGAAAGCAAACAGTAAGACACATAAAGCCAGTAAGGTGGTGTTCCTGGGAAACATGAAGATGCTTCTCACAACCGGTACTTCACGCTGGAATGAACGACAGATTGCTCTGTGGGATCAGGTGAGGCGCAGTAGTTACAGGAAATGTAATGAAACTGCCATCCACATGATTTATTGTTTTTATGTAAAAAACGTACAGATTGCATTTCCTCAATTTTACATAATTCAACAACTTCTCCATCTCTAAGTGCATTCTCAAAATGTCCCTCAGCCTTGCAAAATTCATTTCACCACACTAATTGGAAAGCACCAATAGAGGGAATTACTATGTATGTATCGACTGTAAAGGTTTCTTTTAGGTCAGACGAACAAAACATTTTTTGTTTTTTTTGTTTCTTTTGTCATATCAACACACTTTGGCACTGCTAAATGTTTTGATAGTTTGATTTTCAGTTGAATGGCATAAACCTCTGAAGAACTATATATTTTTAGCTTCTAAACAAGTTATGGGTATTTCAAAGCAGTTAAACTATGTGCAGAAATTTGTATTCTAATTGGTATAGTCTATAGTGTTATGGATATGAATGAGATAAGCACATCAAATTATAATTGGGTAGGTCTTGACTTCAAAGTTCAAACAACTTCAAACTTTAAAATAACACCATTGAAAGTCAGATTTTGTTGATGTTTACAGAATGTAAAATGCTGACTTCAGAAAGATAATAAGTCACGTTGCAAAGAATATACTGAATAAAGTTTACACTTCTTACACCTATCAGGTAAAAAAACATTTTACCCACGTTCCATTCATGTTATTAGTCCAAACCCCTGGATAAGCATCTGTAATATAGTCATTGTCAGAATGGAACTGTTTTTTTTTTATCTTTTTCTGGTACAATAAATACATTTAGCATAGTTCCTGTTAGATACATATTTAATGGGTTGTATTAAGCTAATTCAAATGAATAAGTTTATTTACTGGAATGAACTGATTTTTCTTTTCTTTTAATTATGTAATGATCCACAAAGCTTTCTTAAAAGGAGAGTACTGCCATCTAGTGGACACAGAGCAGCAGCTAAGCCATCTCAGCAGTTTACCTGAACAATTCAGTCAGGATTAAAGTAAATCCTCGGTTATTCTCTTCTGGAGTGTGTCGTCAGCCACTACCCTGACCACACCTGGTACCTGTAGTTGCATATCTGTGGCAGAGCAGAGGGCTGGGACGACTGAGGCTGCATCGTGGCTGGGGGATTAAGGCAAAGCACAGATTATGGATTGAGTTCTCAGTTTTTAATTCAGCTCTGCTTCTTACGTCGCAGTGGATTAAAATGATGCAGTGTTTTGATATCAGAGGGATTTTGTTTGTCTGTTGTGCCTGTCAATTATGTATGCCGGTTTTTGTTTTTTTTAAAACAACATTTTGACCTCTTGGTGTGTTTTGTAGGATGATCTGTCCGTGCCTTTGTTGGAGGAAAACCTGGATGGTTCTTCAGGGGTCCTTTTCCCTTTCTACGACCCCGACACACACATGTTGTACCTTGCTGGGAAGGTGTGTTGCAGAAACGTATACTATACTAATTCACAGCACAGGATTCGGACTGAAAGCTCATTTTGTGCTGCCATCACATGGACTTCACTTTTGTTTCATAGGGTGATGGAAACATCAGGTACTATGAAATCAGCTCGGAAAAACCCTACATCCACAGTCTTACAGAATATCGCTCGCTCCTACCTCAGAAAGGAATGGGTAAGGAACACACACTCAGAAAACCTCAGGCTTTGAGAAAATTCACCTGCAGTTATGCACCTGTAATCATCTCCCAGCACGCAGGGTGTTTAGAAAATCAGCCTGCCTCCTGGCTGGGCCTCCTCCTAGACCTGTAAGCAAAGCTACTGTGCAAACAATCCTGCAGTATTTGAATAGCCAAACTATTGCTGATGTCGTAGATTATGTGAAATGGCAGCCTACAGACAGGTGTTCACTGCTGTTGTGCTCTAATCTCCTATTTTACTCAATGAAGTGGAGAAAAGGAGACGGCAGTACATTGTAACTGGGGTACAAAATGACCTTAATCCCACCAAACTTTCTAGAAATGGTGGATCAGTGTAGTTTTACAAATTTTTCTGTGAAGCCATTTTATCAGTTAATCAAATTCTGTTTTTATTTGCCCCACTTTTCCATCAAGTTTGATTCAGTTTGACTTGTTTCCTTTGACATAAACTCGGGACTGAATAAAATGTCTGAGATCACAGACTTCCACGTGGCCTCTGGCGTTCCAGCCATTCTGATTGTATCAGGGTTTCTTGTTGTGGCGTAATCTCGCTTCATTGATGCCGATAAACGAATCCAATTTGCACCGTAATGAGACAAGTATGATGTAATGTAGTTGAAGAAATCCAGTGTTGCAGAGTAAGACACTTTGGCTCTGCGTGCTGTCCCACAGGTGTGATGCCAAAGAGAGGTCTTGACGTGAGCTCCTGCGAGGTTTTCAGATTCTACAAACTGGTGACTGCCAAGGGTCTGATTGAGCCTATTTCTATGATCGTACCCCGCAGGGTAAGAGGGCCCAGACTAACACAAAAGCAGGCACTCTGCAAGTTCTTCAACTGAATTTGAGGTCCTATCTATCTCTGAATGCAATGCACTTCTCGCGCTTTTCCAGTCGGAGACGTACCAAGAAGACATATACCCGATGACGGCAGGCAACAGGCCCGCTCTGACCGCAGAGGAGTGGCTCAGCGGCATGGACAAAGGTCCGACATGTGCAAGATGCTTTCTTATTTTGATGCCGAGGCTCGTCTCTCTTATTGTGGTTAGCCAGCTGCTTCTTTTCTCGGTTGTGTTTTTTCACCGGTGAAATCTGACTTTTAGGTCCAGTGCTGATGTCCCTGAAACCAGGAAGTCAATTAGAAGAGTCTCAATCGGAGATGAAGGGCTCGGGTAACTCGCTGGACATTCGCAGGTCTCAGAGCAGGCCGGGAATGCTGCTGCTCGCTTACAATCAGGAACAACTTGAAGCCAAAGATGCCAAAGAGGAGAGCAGGGGGGAAGAGGATGACAGGAATCGAAATCTTATCAGCAACGGGGAGGACTTTCCACCTTGCTCACCCATGACGGAGAACGAGGTGCACATTCGCTTTTTTTCCCCCATTTCTTTTCCATAATAAACTCGTCATTCCAGGAGTCATCCAAGGAGGATTGTAGCATCTCATCCAAAGTTTTTAAAAACATTTCTGGCTGGTTGTGTCTTGCTATTAAGTACTTTGAATGCTGAGAGCTGCAGAATCCATTTAAGATCTTTCTTTTACATTTAGCAGCTTCGGTTTATCGACCTTTCCTCTGTTTTTCTTTTTTCACAGCTACGACTGAAGTTCCACAAGCAGCAGGAGGAGATCCGACGACTGAGGGAGCTCCTGAATCAGAGGGACGTGCGCGTCAAACAGCTGGAGCTGGAGATAAAGAACATCAAAAACTCTCAGTCTCAGAGCTCCCTTTAACACTTTCCCGACCTGCTGATTGACAGGCACCCCCTGACAGGACACACACGCACACACACACACACACTTCTGCACAGACCCTGGAAAACGGCCCGTTCTCCGTAAGGTTCCGACTCACCTGTTTTCCTCCACAGAGCCCCACACGCTCGCCGCTCAGGGGTGAATCTTAAGTTGTGTTTCCAGTCGGCCAACTTTGAGAAACGGTGCACATATTCTCGGTTCATGTACATACATTATTAAAATGGCACCTTCTGATTTTTTTTTTTTCTATGCTTGCTGATTTTTTTTTTTTTCCTTACCTGCAATATTTGAACTACTGTATGCCGAGAGTCACAAATGCATTTTTTAATGTGAGAGAGATATCCTGAATGACAAATTCCCTAATCCCTGCTGTCTTTTTCTATCCCATTAAGCTACATTTGTTTTCTGCGTTTATTTTCTTTAAAAACTGGAAATTGTTTAATTTTACTGCGGTTAACAAACAGCCAATCCTGTCACAGATGCCATGTGCAAGTTTTGAACTTAATTTTTGTATTTATTTTAGAATACAGTAAGTGAAAATTAAGAACTTTAATTCACAGCTGTATATCTGGCAAATATGACACATGCATTGTTTCAAAAATACAAAATCCTGCGTCTTATGTGGAGTTACTGTGAAGAGCCAGAGTACCTCTCAACTTTTAGGTTAGCTTGTGTTTGTTTGCAGCATTTTCTCCATAGCTGCTTTAATACTGGGATTTTCTGATCTTTTTTTTTTCTTTTTTTAAAAATGTTTTTAAATTGGTTTTATGGAAGCGTTTTTATGCAAAAGTTGGCATAAGCTGTTGTACGTCATAGGACAAACCGAACCCCACACAACTCTCGTGAGGCTGTGGTAACGAGGCAGGGTTTGTGCCATAAATCTGCATAAAACTATCTGACATTGTACAATTTATTCCCTAATGGACCTTGAATTATTTTTAAATGTTTGATTTTAGACTTCATTACTACAGTTTTCATTTAAACATTTGAGGTAAGTAGTAAAATAACAAACATGCACATAATAAATTAAACGGGTAATTTGATCCTTATGCAGATTCTAAATGGAAGATCTGAGAAAATGGGCTTGATATGTGTTAGCATTTGAAATAAGGATTCCTCTATGTAACTCACAGTTCAAAAAGTTTTGTGCTAAACAATCTTTGTAAGAAGGTAAAGTGAGGATGCAAGTAGAACTGATGAAAGCCAAAGAATTAACTGAAGTTTGCTTTGAATAGCCAATACCAATTATACAAGCCTCAACTGCTTATGAGATCCACCTGTCCGGTCAAAGTTCACATTTCTGGGTTGACAATGTGTAAAATAAGTCATAAAAATCCTAGTGTGATGTTTCAGCTATTTCCACTGAGACTGTCACTAGAAACAAATGTAGCTAAATTTTGGTGGTGGGTCCAAATCCATTTTGTGAACTTGTGCTTTTCTTAATATAAGCCATAAGCAATTAAATAACGTTATATGTGCTTAAATCTGATCAGGGAACTTCTGAATGCTGTCCATTCTATTCCACCATCATGTTTCAGTTGGGCCAGGGCAGAAACTGATTTATGTTCTTCCAAAAGAAAAAGACACATTTCTGTATTTCTCAGCAAATTCATCGGACAAAAATGTAAATAAAGCATAGAGACCAAGTCGCTATTTGCAGATATTAGATCATACGATCCTAGGAAAAGCACTCCCACAGTAGGTCTGACCATGCATGTCACGGGTACAATAGTCATTTTCTAGATTTGGAACATTCAGGTCACATCTCCTTGAAATGACCACACCAACCACCACTCACTTAGACTTATGGGATTCAATATAATTGTGATGTGTTCAACACCTTTGACCTGGTGCAGGAAAGCTCTAGCTCCGGCTGACTTGGAGCAGCATTGCCCGGCCTGTTTCATTGCACACTTTATGGTCCTCCACTGCTCCGGCTTTAAGGAAAAAATGACTGAACAAATTAAACACTTTGAGGTAATCGGTTTTACCCACGTTTTGCTTGTGTTCCATTACAGAATCACTTCTGGCAGCATAATTAGTGCTCATGTTTTGGTTTTGGCAGATAGGTCTACCTCCAAAGAAAAAACTGTTTTTACTGTAACGGCCACTGTTAAGGAGCCGCCAGCCACTAACTTGATCAACTTCAGAAAGTTACTTGGATAGATGCCAGAACAGACATGTTTTCTTTTACAGTCCAACTGAAAGTAGGTAAAAGGATAATGGAAACTAGACACTGAAAGATTTTTCTTATTTATTTAAACAGATTATAAGATGGAACATTGAAACCGAGGTTGTCATTGAAAATCATCTCTAGATTCCTGATACTTATTTTTCAGACTGCCTTGATGAGCACCAACAGGTCTGATTTCTGGTTTCTGTGGGACCAAACAGAGTGGCCTCATCTCAGACTGGGAAAGAGGTGACCAGTGACTCTCCAAGTGCTGCTAGGATGTATACATTTTAATATTATGCAAAACTCTATGTCATATCTGTAACAATGTACATGTCTTTTAAAATGCTAGCCGCGAGTGAACATGCAGAAGCAGAAAATAGTTAAAACATCTGTCAACACCTGGTTTCGTCTCTCACGATGAGGCACCGAGGAGCAATTATTGCAATTTGAATAAATAAATCAACATGCTCATTTCTTCCACAGCCTGTCTCTATCATTATTTGTTGAGGGAAAAAGAAAAACCTAACAAAGGTATAAAAGTAGTACATATTTAGTGAAAAACATTTAAGTGATGGCTTTTGAAAAAATATATTTGAACAGTTAATTAATTCATTGCCCAACGCCCACAGATTTTCCTTACAGAAAAATCGTGATGTATATATTGTTTTTCTACGTTTTGCTTTGCTTTTTTGTTGTTTTTGGTACAGATTCATCCCAACACATTTGTTATCTTAGGACCCCCACTAAAATATGTACAAGTCTGTTAAGAAGACCATTAACCTTTAGGATTAGAGTTTAGACATCAAAAGGTGTTGTAGTGTAATCCCGGCTTGAGTGTATGTTTTGTTGAAATGATACAGATACTCTGTATAGACTGTGTATATAGACTATGTACGTTTAATTACAAATCCATCACTAATACACTAAACATATTTGAGATGCAACCCAGATGTCTAAAGAAGCCTGAAAAGAAGTTAATGCGACTGAATCCACCAAAGTTTCAGGAAAAATGCTCAGTGAGAAAATAATGTTTCAACATGGTGTCAGAGACCTATTGGTCTTTCGGCATACTTTGGCCTCAGTCAGATTAGAAATAATCAACCGTTGACAGAAACATTTAGTTCCATAAATGGTTCATACCAGACGCTAAAAGCAGTCCGCTGTTTTTATCTTTACAGATATGTAAAATTGAACCATTTCACTTAGGAAATGAATAACACATTTGTACCACTGAGCAACTGTGGTGTCTATTTTTCCGAACTGTGTAATAATCCGTAAGAATCCAGTCACAGAAATATAGAATGGGATTGGCAAACTGTTGAGCACCACAAGGTCTGGACATGTTTGTTTTGGCTGAATGATCATCTGTACAGATGTTCAAACCTAGACGAAAGTAATAGAAATGTTTTTAAAGTTATCATTATTATCATTGTTGACTGCTCATATTACAAAAGCTTAGAGAGACTGAGGAGAAAACCGGGACATCTGAACCAAAAAGCCCTAATTTGGCGAAATTCAGAATCAGGGATTTGGAGCCTAACCACAGATCTACTAATAGTGTATTTACTTGCTGCCTCCTGCCCAGTGACAGCTGGGATAGGTTCCAGCCTCCCCACACCTCCAGTTACAGTGCTTTAGGTATAGCATCATGAGCGCACTTATTGTTAACACTTAAATTTTCATGTGTTTGTTTAAAGACACAAACATGGCTACGTCCAATGTGAACATGTTAGCAGTATCAGTGCCAGGAGACAAAAAAAAATCACTTGGCAGATGAGGACTGTAGCTAATTTAAACAAGACTCTGTATTAAGTTGCTTTAGTGACAAAATCAAGTTTCAAATGACATCTGGGTAAAAAAAAAACTGTCCTAAAAAAGTGTTTTGCATCCAGCATAAGTCAGTCCATGACTATTTGAAGTATTTTGAAACTGGTCTGCAGCTGAGGGTGTGCTAACAGCAGAGATGAGAGGAGCAGTTAACTAAATAACCATCAGCTGTATGCAGGGAGCTCAAGTAAAAAGGTTGCCATGGTGACGCTGACTGGAACGTTCTTCCTGAGTCACACTGAGGAATAAACTGAAACTTGGCTCGCTGAGACGCTCGAACAATGGCTGATAAATCAAAAACTGCAACTCCCATCAAGGTTTGACAACCACGAGCAGGGTTTTCATGTCAAATAGGACAATTAGTCCCACAAAGAGGTTCTGTTCCACAGACAGAACGGCGTTAGCGTTAGGGCCCATAGCTCCAGCTCAGTTTCTCACAGAGCTACAGGTCATTAAGCACAATTCTGAAAGGTTTATGTTCCATTTGTGTTTCTCAGACAGTTTTAGCCAAAGAAAATAGTTTTAGCCGAACTCTAGGTCATTTTCACACATCATAAACTTGTCTTTTAGGGATCCTGGAGGAGCACATGGCTCTCCTCAAATAGAAAGAAATACCATTTTATGCAAGATGACTTCTACCTCTCAATCCCAAAAATGAAAAAGTAATGGTACTCCTCATACCAGTAAAAGAAAACTGAGGAGAGGTGTCAAGAATTGGGCCCTGAGGCTTGGCGACTGCTCCCTCTGACCACATAGTTTTCTCCATTTGCTCAGTTCCACTGACACAGAATGCGTGGTACACTCATCCATCTGCCTCCACTTATCTGAGCTCCAGTCAGAGATAACGGGTTCAGAAGGGAAACCCAGAAATCCCTCTCTCCAGCTCCCCCCGGGGGATCTCAGGATGCCCCCAAACCAGAGGATGTATCCCCTCATTTAGTACCGGGTCTACTCTGGGGTAAACTTCCCTTAATTCATTATAGGACAAAACACTGCTCAAGAACTCATATGAGCATAGGAGATTGGTATGAAGATTTCCTTGGAGGGAAAAAAGTATGTTTACCCTCTAAGACTTGAGAAAAACACACTGAAGGCAAAATATTCAACACTCAAATACCCCAGCTTAAATTTTTTTCTCATATCAATATAACCCAAGATGAACAACAGCGCACGATAAGTGTTTTTAATTTAAAAACATAAGAAAAATCAGTCTGATCTGGAGCATTAAAAGTGTAAGGTGAGACATTGGGGAGGAGATACACTGGCAACGATCTTAGAGAAGCAATCGGGTTAAAACGATGCACCTGATGAACACAACTTCAGCTCGGTGGTGGAGGGCTTATGATTGTGATGCTGTGTGATTATTTTTGCTCGACGTGCTGTGTTCTTAAGTTAGCCGAGAGTCAACAATGAAATGATCGTGCAGAACATTTCAGGTGGCTCAATAAATGTTGACAGTTGTTGACACAGCATGTTACCTGTGTTGTTGTTCATCTTAGATAATATTCTTTTATTTTAAGACCTACTGAGGACCAGATCATTTATTTGACTAATGTCCCAATTATATGAAACTGTGTGCGCATTCATAGTTACATGATTGCCTTATTTTAGGACATCAGAAGAGCAGAGAGAGAAAGAGAAATAGAGGAAAGCCAAAAATGTTAACATTTTATTTACAAAGTTGTTTTTTTTTTCTGTTTGTTTTTGTTTTGTCATACAGAAAGTAAAAATGTAGCTACAAGCTTGATTTGTGCAACAGGCGGCCACACTAAAAACCATGGCCTGCGGGTTGCACAGCTGCTATAGCAATAATTTTATTGGGAAAAATAAGGAACGGAAAAAAAAAAATTAAAGACAAAAAAAGGGGAAATAATAAACCCAACAACAACGAAAAAAAGAAAAAAAAAATTAAAAAGAAAAAAATAAAGAAATGTATCCAACAAAATATTAAAAGCACAGACCCAAAACTAGATACCAGTCCCAAAGTCCTCACACGGGAATACATAAAGAGGGGTCGACAGTGAAATTGTGGAATGCTGAGCGGCGGGCTGCCTGAGAACCTCTGGGGCGATGGGAGGGGTGAGCCGGAGGTTGTTGGGTGGCTCTCAGTTCCATGGGGAGAAGAAGGGGTGGGGTGGGGGGGTGCAGCTCCACTCAGCCCACCCATCCGGTACAGTCTTGCCCCATAAAAAGAGCGCAGAGCTGGGGGGGGGGGGGGGGGGGGGTAGACGTGGATTACAAAGGCGGTGCGAGTTGTCGGAGGGTGGACGTTCGGGTTTGTGGGCAAAAAGGTGGTAACTCGGTAGGCTCTCGTTTTCAGTTTTGCCTTCAGTCGTCGTCTTCGTCGTCGTCGTCGTCGTCCTCATCCTCTGGGTCTCGCTTTCTCTTCTCGCCTTTGCCAGCTTCTGCTTCTGGGGGGGAGAGGCGAAGAACAAATGTGCATCATGTGACACCAGCAATCCAACATCATGAAACTTAGACAGTTGAGTCCCAGCAGTCTCGGGCTGTTAGAAACAGCCACAATACGCAGCAACAGAGCCCCGAACACGACCTCATCCCAGCAGAAATAGAGTCCTCTTTATATCTGGGAGAAGAAGGGGGCTTGATCCAAACCACATGATTACAATTCAAACCAACTTCATGGCGAGTGGCTTATTCAGGTAAGAAAAGAGAAAAAGAGGCAATGCCAATTATGTTTCAAATCAATTCAGAGCAGAAGATTAGCTGGAATTGTGTCACATGTTGAAAAAAAAAAATCCAGGGTGTGCTAAACCTGTTGGATGTTACATCATCAAATCTGCTATGAGCTGTTCCTCCAGGTTTTATTGTGTGCTGTCCTTTCTTACGTTGCTACATTGGTGAACTTTTCTCCCTCCACTGCCGACCTGATCTTTTGATTTTACACAGAATGTTAAAAGCAGGAGCCGCAGGAAAAACCATACACAACGTTGCCCGTCACCCAAGACCCCGTCTAATCAAAAGGTGGGCGAAGGCATCCCCCGCCATGAGAGGGGGGGGGCCTCTGGGTCTAACAACAATCAAATAAAAAGCTGTGGCAACAACTAAAGGCTTTCAGTCCAATTCCGCTCCGACAGGGTTTAATTTGATTGATGTGGAGCCACTATGAAGAGTGTGCTCCCAGCTTCTTCAGCTAGTAGTATTGGCTAGCCTATTTGCAACTTTGTTTATTCAACTTTCCGTCACAGTGCAGTCTCTGCCCACAATCCACCGCAAAAAGGAAACGTTCACCGTCCTCCAGGCAAATTCCGGAGGAGAACCACCCAACGGGAGCCGGGCATGGCCGTCGTGATTATGGCTTTCCCGTGGGGATAAAAATCAGGCCTTTGGCCGTCTGGCATTTGAACACAAAGGCATCCAAAGATGAAGCAAATAATGTTTTTCACTGCATCGTTATGGGTTTGGTTTTAGGGTATTAAAAGAAGACAGCGTAGAATAATAAGACGAGACGTGCGGACAGTGGGAGTTACAAGCCCACACGGAGCATGTGACGGTCTCGGCTACTGGAGGGGAGTTGGTTCTGAAAAGGCTCAACTGAAATGACCATCTCCACCATCTAAAACTTCTCTGATTAACAGCCGTTGGTAAAGACCTGTGTAAGTGTTGCATTTGCGATTTTCTGAGAGGGGGGGTTTGGAGGAGGCATCATATCTGTTTAATAACCCCAGTTCTCTCACCCCGTCATCCAGATGTTTTTGATTTGTTAATGTTTTTTAAGATCCAGTTTTTTTTGTTTACTACACAAAGCTAAAAACAGGATTTGTTGCATTTTAAATGGAGAAACTTACCCTCTTCATCATCATCCTCGTCGTCATCCTCTTCATCTACCTCTCCGTCCTGACCAAATTCTTCCTCCTAGGGAAACGGTTCAAAGGTTTTAAAAAGAGAAGACAGAAACCAAACTGAGAAAGCTGTGACACAGCCATGATTTTGACCGTTTACCTCATCTTCGCCGCTGACTTCTTCATCGTCGTCCTCTCCTTCTACCTCCTCTTCGTCATCATCGTCATCGTCCTCCTCATCAAAGTCCTCTTCCTCCCCATCTTCATCTTCCTCCTCCTCTCCATCTGCAGGACAAAGGCAGAGCAAAAAAGGGTCAGGAATCCAGAAGAAACCCCCAGCGTCTGCCCACAGGTGGAGCACCCAGCCGCACGGACGGAGGAGCCCAGCCGCTCGTACCTTCGTCTTCATCTTCATCTCCGCAGTCTCCGTCGACTTCTCCGTCGGAGTCCGAGGCTTCCCTGTCCTCCATGTCATAACCGTCCAGGTAGGTGAGCTGAGGCAGCAGCTTGAACACGCTCTCTCTGTAGTCGTTGAGGTTTGTTACTTCACAATTGAACAGGTCCAAACTCTTCAGGTTGTCCAGCTTTTTCTGTTGAGCACACACAGGCAGCGGTGAGAGGCGGCTACTTAACCCAGACGCTCTGCGCTAACTGGCCGAGCGGCCGGCGTGCAGAGAGAGACTAGTTTTGTCGTCAGGCAAAAGCAAAAATGTCGGGGGTGTTGCTGCGTGGATGGGAACATACCAACGGTTCCAACGTGCTGATGTCTTTCAATTTGTTGCCACTCAGGTTTAGATGTGTGAGGTTGGGTAGTTTCTCTGCTAAAACATCAAGGCCGCCGCTGATTCTGTTGTCACTCAACTCCAGCTGCGAGGCACGGGAAACGACATTTGAAAAAATTAATTTAAAAAGACAGAGAGAGGGACCGGTTGAGCAGAGATCTATATCATCACACCAAATGGTGAAAGGTTTAAGCTTACCTTTTTCAGTTTTCCTAGTTTAGGCAGGTTGGACACTGAGATTAGGCCCACATTTATCAAACTGAGGAACTCCAAGTTGACAAACTCAGCTGTGAGGCCTTCGATTTTCCCTTCAACCGATCGACAATTATCGAGGACAAGTTCTCGTACCTGAAATTCCAACAAATAACACCATGTAAAACTTCTTGCTACTTCTTCTGACATTCACCAATATTACCATTTTAAATTTGACCATTTATTGTTGATTATTCCACGTTCCATAAAAAAAAAGAAAAGGTACTGAACTAAAACTGGACATATTGATGAAAAATGTTGACAGTAAAAAGACTTGCATGGTGTAAAGTGATGAATAAATGGGCAAAGATGGCAAATGCATTTGGATTTTAGGCAAAACACACATTTAGATCTGTATTTGATCAACTACAGTTTGTTTTTATGCATCTGCATATTTTATTTTGTTTTCACATATTAATATTGCAGAAGATATTTTAAGTTTCACAACCAGTGATTCCTTCATCCAAATGTAATCTATTTGTTTTTTAAACCAGGGCTGCTCAAATTTCCTGTTTGAGGGAGGAATAATAGAATATGTAATCTTAAACTAAAATTCAAACCAAAGAGACAGTGGTTGTAAATTTGTGTTTTTTGAATAGATATCATTTGCATACATACACGGTTGTTGGAAACTTGACACACCGATAAAAATACCAAGGCACCAAAGAAGGTTTTACAGAAACACGAGAGCGAAACTTTATTCAGCCGTAATGTCGGTTTCTCTAAAAATAATTTTGTTACTTTAAATATAAGAAAAACAAACCCGAAGGCGGAGTTAGTCCGTTTCTCTTAAAGCTCATACCGGTTGCGCAATTAATTGTTGGACAATAATGTAGCAACAACAAAAAAGTTGTTGTCAACCCTCAAACATCGCGTTTCCCCGAGTAAAACATCGAAATGAACAGTGAGTCTCACTCTAAAAAGTCTTTGTGTTACTGTGTGCTTCATCCTGCCACCAAAGATAATCTATTGATTTCTAAGAAACGAGGAAGAGCAAAGCAGCTGCTTCCCATGGCCTTCTGATGCAGTCACTAATGACAAATGCAATGATTTTGGGAGCTAGCTCGCTACAGGCTAGCCATTGCCCCTTTTAAACGCTGCCGTGCAGTAGAGGAGCAGCTAGAGAGGTCTGTCTGCCCGCCATTAGGCAACACAACAGCAACGGAAAGGATTGCGAATACACCCTTAGAAAACCTTTTCTTTTTCGATAGACCACCTTTCACTGGGGAAGTGGAATATGCCTCGTCGTCGAGCGAACGACCGATATTGCCAGATTGATAAAGAATCGCTCTCAGGTCGAAGTTGCGAAGGAAAGAGAACGGAAATTTAGTAAAAACAAAGATGGAGACAGTTCCTTTCTCCCAGGGCTTCAAAGACGACAGAATGACAACATGGCGATTCCTGAGCTACAGTATGCAGTCGTCCCTACACTCCAATGGCGGAAAGTGTTGTTTAGAATATGTGATTACAGTTACTGAAACATTAGCAAAATTATTTTGAGGTCTTTAATTTGTTTTAATTCATGCATGAGTCGAGCGGAAACGCCGACAGTCGAGTTTTTGGTTGCCCACGCATGAAGCGCGGTGCACCGGATCTCCGTGTCACTCAGGCAGGCTGAGTCGGTTAAACGAAGCCATGGTACACCACATCGAGCACTTTAGTCGAAAAAATGCGAAGCATGGCTTTAATCACAATAACCGGAGGTCGTATTGTGGCGTTTTGAGTTTAACAGTGAACCAATTCTGTTGTCATTTGGCCGGTGTACAGACCGGGGTAATATGGCGGGAACAAATGACTGAGTTAGCTTGCTCTTGTCTGATCCACAATTATGGGAGCACCAGACTTCATTTAAACAAGCATGCAATTTTTCGTTCAGATTTAAGGGATACATTACTGCTCTGTAACTATGCAAGCTATTTGCGAAACATAATGGTTGTACGTTCATCTTTAAACAACCGTGGCCGGGATTTAAACCTGCCTTTTTAAGCAAATCACAATAACAGGAGTGGTTGTTTCATTTCGAAGACATTGTATCTAATGTCTGAGGTTTCGAGTAAGTGACTTGTTATGGCATGGCTGGCTTTTTTTCACTACCGCTACAGCATTTAAAGGTAACGTTATTGTACGCTGAAGAAACGTGCGGACACGACTGCTGTTTTTATTATGCCGTTCATAAAACTCCATTTAGACACTTGGGGTGATGAACTGTGTTGGAAACAAAAAGCGCCCGTTTTCAGCAGTTGTGCTAGGAGCAAACATGGCTTCCAAGGACTGTATAAAATATAGCGCTCTGTGCATGCCAAACGCGGCGCAGGAAGCAGGTTCCCCGATATATCAGCGGTAAAAGAAGTTTACTAATTGAGCTACAACGGTGGAGTCGAGCGGTATCGTGTGTGCACCACTGACCAAGGAGGCTGCGAAACGGTTAAAGCACTGCAATAATGTCAGCAAGCTGGGGAATCGCCGTTTGAAAGTAACCATTGAATATAGCTTTTCCCCTCTCGTTGCCCCTTATACGCCCAAATCCAGAACAGTCTCGAGGATTAAGCTTGTTGTACGACTGTTTTCCGCCCTGTTACAAAGGAGAAACACAGCCTAAAGCCCATGTGGTCACCATTAGCTTCTCAGGTCACTCGCAAAGCAAAAAAGTAGCAAGCTAGCTAGCAGGGCTAGCCAGAAAACTAAGGGCTGGTTTTTAAAAAGCACGACTCACATCAGACGGTGTCCTGTTTCTTAGCTCCAAGTGGATCCTCTTTTTCATGTCCATCCTCCCCAGTGAAAGTTTAACTTTTCTCTCTTGGGTCTTGCTGGGATCTTCAGTCCAAAGGCAGAGATGCCCTTATGGAGGGAGAATATAGGACTGTATAATGAACTGAGCCAAACGCTAAGTTAGTCGGAGAGAGGGGAAACCATGGAGGGAAACGGGACTGAAACAAAATATATGCTCAACAGCGCCATCTACGTCCAGAAACGCCCATCGACTCTGAAAGGGCATTGCAGTCAGAAAACATGACGCTGCCCCGAAACGGTGTTATGGTGCAATTATTTCTGCAAAGGAAAGGCTGTATATTTGTCGAAGTGTGATAAAACGGGGGGCTTTCGCCTCTTCAGCCGGACCCACCCGCCGAAGACGAGCCGAAGATGCACGAGCAGCCGATGAAAATAGCGTCTAATTAGACACCGATAAAGTAGGTCATACGGTGAACTTTGTTTATTTACTGTCCTCATAAACAACCCGAGCTCCTGTTGATTTTTATTTCACATTAGTTTCTTTGTATGCCCGTGGCGTAAGTGGAGCAGACGCGTAACATGATTAAGAAACCCTTATTTGGAACATTGCTCAAACCTGTTGAAAATCAAGCCTTTTGTGAGGCAAATCTGTTGTTCTTTTGTACGTTTTGATCAATAAACTCTTGCCTTGTTTACTGTCTTTTAAATGCCTGTGTTTTTTTTTTCTCGTCCCCGTAAGGACACATCACTAGAAAGGAGGGGTGTATTTGGTTAGCAGAGAAGAGAACGTTGTGTGTGCACATGGAGGGTAGGGCACCCCCTAGAACCCCACCCCTCTACTTCCTGAGACATCCGAGCCCTCAAAGTACAAGATCACCAAGAATCACTGAGCGAGGAGGTTAGTTTTTCCTTTAAAATGAAGAAAGAATAAAAAACTATTAAAAAAATTAAACGCCTGAATCTCCATTGAATTGTGGTGTACTGTAAAGGTTGGTATATTGCGGGGACACTGTCTTAATATCACGAGTGCGGCCTGAAGATGGCGTTGTCATGTCAAAGACTTCATATTTGGTGCTATCTGCCCAGACATTCCTCAGCTGTTGGGATTGTGTGTGACTGACAGCCCTCTCTGCTTTTGGCTGTAAGGGCAATGCTACGATACTAGGAAATTGAGCATACTTGGAAAGAGTTCATCTGTGTGTCTTATCAAGCACAGCGTGTAACTGATCCTTTGACCAGCTGCGAGTCAAAACAGGCACAGGATTTTTGCAGCTTTTTTTTAAAGCATTACTGTGATATTAATCGGTTCACACACATATATATCGCTGACATTTTCATAGATAATGAAACTGTAATTTAGGTTCACATGTGTGGATGGGGAACCTCTTTTTTTAACTTGTGGACACAAAAGTGCTGAATTTAAAGGAACCCCTCACCATTTCCACCACGGTGCTGGAGGCACTTGACAATTGTATGTTATTTATCCCGTCAAATTTACACACACATGCATGCACGCACACACTTTACGGCTCAATGTGCTGAGAGAAGATTGAGAACACTCCCCAACTGAGCAGTGCTCCACCTGAGAGATAAGACAACTCCACTCCAGTTTGAAGACAGGATTTCTCACTTTACAGCACATTTTACCTCAAAACCTCCGGCAGGTTTTAGTAATGACCATCACTAAGCATATGAAAGCTTCATGTTAGCCTTCGGAAAATAGTTCTGATTTAACTGATATGCAAAACTGTCAAAACAAGACAAAACCAGCCTACCTGTCATGGGCCCTCCACCATAATTAAAGCACTTTAAATCTTGAGCGATAGTCCACATTCAGTCTGCCATAGTCACACTAAAGGCAGCACTGGTTTACAAACTGCTTCTGGCTTTTATGCTGTCTGCGCTGCTTACATGATCTTCTGTCGTTAGCATGTATTTTTTTCACATTCACACACTGCACACCCCCTCCCCCCCAACACAAAACCTGCTTGTTTCTCCCTTTTTTTTCTCTTTTCCTCTGACAGTACTGTGCCAACTCCTCCAGCTTTACAAATATGATAAGGCCAAAGCTACAAGAACTCTCCCAACACCGCGGTAATGGTTAACCAGATAATTCTTCTAGGGGGTGGGAATAGGCAACAGTCAGAAGTTTCTCTGTCTTCTGTGCGGTATTTGCGCGCCTTCACTTGAATTCATTCAAAGTTGGGGTCAAAATGGAGGAGACATCGCAACCAGAGAAAAACCAAGAGCTGGAATTGAAAAACCAGATTGAGGAGGAAGGTAATTTCTATATTTTTATAGATGCCTCTCCTACATGATACCAATAGCAGAAGCTTAAATGAGCCTGACATTTGTTAGAATGGAGAGTAATATCTTAGCTTTCAGGTACAGTAGACTTTTGATCAACATCTAAGCAGACTTACAAATATAATCACTGGTAAATACAGTTTTTGTAACTGTATTGAGAAACCATGCGTGGAGAAAATACATTTTTCATTGACATTCGAGCGTCTAGTCAGAGGAAAGATATTAACATTTTATTGTCACAGGCTCATATTAGTCTGTCATATCTAACAAATGCCGCATGCAGCTAAATGTTCTTTTTATTTTTTACATTACCGAATGTAAACAAGTCATTTTTAAGTGGCTCTCTGTTTGCAGGAGGGATCCGTCGGCGACTGCGAGACAGGGACCTTCTCAGAAAGAGAAAAGCCGAGGCAGAGGAGAAGGAAACTAACCAGTGGGTTTGGGGGTAAATTTTTAGAAAAACACAGTCAGTGTTAGTACAGTGATATGACACCGTTAATATTTGCTCTCATACAGTCAAGGGTGGAGTGGAGGTGTTCACTCCACCCATGAACATTTTGCATGCTCGCAGTATACCAGAAAACGTTACAGTACACAGTAAAACCACTATCAGCAGCCTGGCTGCTTATCACTCCTCCGGTTTATATTGAATGTGGAGCAAGAGGAAACCAAAGGTTGCTCTGGTCGGTCTGTTGACACCCCAGATCTCGGTTAAGGACTTTGTACTATTAGTTTAACAAAAGCATCATAGATTTGTTTCAATGTCCTCTGTCGTTCAGCTTAAGTGCAGCCAGTAATGCTCTTTCAGGGTGGAGAGCCAGAGAAAAAGATCAAGAACGGGGGATAAGAGCGGCTCCAAGAAGAGAGGAAGACCCAGGAAGAGTGAACCTGTGCTGTCGGTCATTCAGGAAGAGCCAGTTGTGACTCGGGAGGCTCCTGCGGTCGTGGTAGCACCTGGACCGGCTGCATTAATCTCTGATCAAACATCGGGCCCCCTGACCCCGGTGCTGGCTGTGGAATCCCAGCCAGCTTCTTTCCTTGTTGCACCTGCTCCTGCACCAGTGCTTCAATCTGTCCAAAACACGGTCTTTGGCCCTTTTCTGACCTCTCCTCCTCCACTTGGCTCAGCTCTAGGCACATCTTCTGTTCTGATACAAAGTTCAGCTCCAGTACAAGTTCCCAATCCAGCCCCCGTACAGGCTCCCGACGCAGCTCCAGCATTGCCTCTTGATATTTTCTCAGCCCCAGCTCTGTCCCAAGACTCCGCTCCAGCTGCGTGTGTTGCTCCTCCTCCAGCTCCTCCTCAGGTGGAGACCCTCTACACCGAGTCACAAGCCAGGGACGACCAGGTCCTGATCGAAGACCTGGGCCCAGACGAGGAGGAGGACGTCTCTCCATCACAAGAAAGAAGAGTTAACGAAGGTAAGAATACTGTGTGAAAAACAAACAAATAAGACTCTCTTGTGCAAAGTGAACACTTTCCCACTACTAAATGTTTATCTGTCTTTTTTTTAGGTTTAAATGAAGCTCTTTCCGTCAACGTACCCGAGCAAACCAAAATGTATTCAGTTCCAACCTTGTCCTCCTCCACTCTGCCACAGGAATATCTTCCAGGAAATTAATTGCAGTTTTTTCTAAAATCCACCGTTCAGTTGCTCAGTTCGGAGCACACAAAAATTCTTGCTTCTTGGTCGCATATGGTACAGGAATATTGTTTAAGGTTAGTATGCAGTCTGATGATTGAAGAGAACAAATGTATAGAGCTGTGGCATTAGGTATTTGTGTATGAATTCACACCAAACTTCTGTGGTTATTTATTCTGCGTTGTGCTCCTTTGCAAAGTTCACTGATTGCTTTTTTATACTTTGCATTTAGTAGACAAAAGATTATGCTTGCTTTATTTCAGAAACAGTATTAATCTGTATTAATTGTTTATTTGTAAGAGTGTATTTTCATGAATATGTTTTCAAATGTTTTTAAATCAAATAAAATTAAGTTCTTGTATCATAACATGTGTTTATTATCATCTATGTAATTTTCAAATGGAGGATGTATATGTGACATCAGCTTGCTCTTCATCGATCCCACAGCTGGGCCCCTATAAGGTTCAGCTCAATTCTTTTATTGCAGCAAAGTGCTAATTTAAGTCTGTTTTAAAGTTAATGAAACATGTACTTGATTTATTTTTTCTATAATTACCTTTACATCTTACCAATATGATAACCATTTACCCTTGCCATTTTTGATGGTTTAGAAAACTATCCTGAAATAAAACTTGGTTGTTGTTTTTTTGAATCTGTAAAATTCCATCAGCAGCTAAATTTACTCTCCATTTAGAACATTAGAAAAAGCCACTCTACACACTCATAATAAACCCTCCTGTGCTTTGGCCGCTACTTCAGGTTAGCAAATACACAACTTTATTGTTTATTAAATTGTTTTGCTAGTGGTGGTGAAAATACACACTGAAAGTAGAATTGCTATAATTGGTTAAAGAATTGTTGTGTGATAGAAAAGGAGCCTTAATTTAAACTGTTTCTTGTACAGCATCTAATTTAATAATACCACATTACATTTGGAAAAAAAACATTTAAACGGAATGTGTTTCTGAGGATTGGGATTATCAGAAACAAACGACAAAGGTTTATTAAATTACCGGGTATATTTTTTCATCTAAAATTGGGCTTCTTTATAGGATAATTGTTATTTTTCAAGTGGTAAAGGAAAATCCCAATATATTAATCAGTATAAAAGTAGTCATATTACAGGTACAATTAATAATTTATAAGGATTACTCATTCTATTGTACTTAAAGGCTGATTGAATGCCTCTGCTGCCCTCTGCTGGCAGAAAATATGTTGGCGATGAGTTCTAATAAAAAAACAAAATATGTATTTAACTGCTTGGATGCTTATTCATAGTGTAAAGAAAGGAGACTTATTCAATACCTAATACATTTGATATTATAAACTCTAAGAGGGATTATATGGCTCAGACCAGCTGTGGGTGACTTACACGTGAAGCACTCCTGGTTGGCCAACAACTAAATGCAATATGTGCTTCCGCATTCAGAAATTCCCACGTGCTTAGTGTGTTGTTCGTGCTTATGACATGGACTAAAACAAAGACGAACAGCTGTACTTATATGCCGAATGAGACAAATCTGTGTTGGAACAGAAAGATGAGTCCTTTGTGTAACTGCTGCGGCGAATACGTCAACAAATTGAGCCAGCAGGTTTCAGTAATGCGAAAAGAAATCAAGAACTTGAGGTATGTTCACCACCAGATTGCCTCGTATTGTATTTACAAATCCTCAGATAAGGCGTTTGTGCTCATATGTGTTTTATCTGTGGACACAGTAGCACAGTGTGTCGCATCCCAGAGACAAGATATTCTTAAGTGTTGCCTTTCCCCGGGTATCTCTCGTTCGTCCTCCATTTCACCCTGTAATGGTCCTCTTTGTGTTCTGCTTTGTCCAGGCAGACGCTGGACAGTGCCGTCAGGGCTCATCGCAAACATCTGGCATCTGTTCAGACTGCCGTGTCCAAAATCGGCTCCCCTGAATTAAAAAAGGAAGCTACACGACCACCACCCCCATCACAGGCTGGATTAGAGCAAGGTAGCTACAATTAAAGCACTTTAAAGCCTTCTAAACATGCCAAGCCAAATACAGGAAAAGTAACATTTCCTCAAACATTATATTAACTACAGCAAGACTGAGATTGATTGAAATTGATGCAACCAATGGCTGGTTCACAATATACTGCATGTTTTAAATAAAATCTACCACAAAGTACAAATTATTCAATAAATGATAGTGTTGTGTTTAATAAAGAATTAATAAATATAATGCATTAGAAAATGCAGTCTGCAGCAATTTAAATTCAGTTGAAGCAGGATTAATCTATGTGAGTAGGTGTCCCCCCTCCATGGTTACACTGCATTTTCAGACACGAAGAGTTCTGTAGCAAAATACGGAAGGACTCTTTAAATTCTCATTTGCACAATCGGTTGGATGTGTTGGTGCAAACTAGGTTGGCAGCTCCATCTTTTGTGCTCCAGCAGTGGGGTGGTTCCTCTGGGGCCTCGGAGATGCTCTCTGAGGCTCTGCCAAGCTTTCTTCCCCTGTCAGTGTTACTGAGTAACTGACCCACATCTGTAAAGGCTTACAGCTGAATAGAAAAAACAAAACACACCATCAACATTTAGCATGAAAAGGTAAAAACAAATATATCTCATGCTGCATCTGAGAAATGTTTATTACAAAAAAAATGTTCTTTAACAAGCCAACCAAGACATTTCTGTCTAAACTAAACATCTGGCTTCACACAGAAAGAAGAAAAAGAGGAGCTGCATTATTTTTTACATTCTTTTAGGCCAAATTAAAGATAACTCGGAGCATCTGGAGAAAAAGCTTTAGATATGGTGTGAGACTGAAAACTAATATTGTCCGGTTGCTAAACTGTTGAGCCCTGATCACAGAACTGTTACCCGTAAAAACATTTGATACATTTCAATGGAAAAATCGGAAAACGGAGGCTGTGAAAGTTTGCAGCTCAAAACCATCAAAATTTCGCTTTAAACTACAACTGCAATAGTTCTCAGTTCTTAAATGCTCAACCAAACCCTCTATTACCTTCTAGTAGCAATGACAATTGAAACATTTTAAAAGGTGTTCAAATTTGAAATCCACATTTAAAAAAGATACAAAATTAGTGAAACTGATATGTTATCATTGTGCTCGGAATTATACTTAATTTCAGGAAACATCCAGACGGTGCCGATCGGCTACATAGAGTCCTGTTTTTCTACAAAGAATGGGACCCCTAGACAGCCCACGGTGTGTGGCCCATCACGGGCTCGGCTGCGACTCCGCCAGAGCGTCTTCAACAACCCTGAGCACGCTCTTGAGGGCCTGGAGCAGTTCTCCCATGTCTGGTGGGTCACGCATAGTCGTTGGCTTCCTGCAAATGTATATTTATGTCAAGTTGTCAGTTATCATGTTTGAAATCTGCAACAACTCCTGTTTGAGGTGCCAGAAGCATTAGCATCCGTAGTTATGTCAGACACGTGTGCAAACATGAACCTAATTTATCAGGAAATGTTTACCTTTTGCATTGAGCTTCTTTCAAACATTTACCGAGACATCATTTGTTTGCATTTTACTGACACTGTGTGTCAGCGGTTTCATTTTTTGTTTTCTGTCGCCTTTTTCGTAGGATAATATTCCTGTTTCACAAAAACGGGCACCTGAGCTACAAAGCCAAAGTGAAGCCTCCTCGACTGGACGGTCAGAGAGTCGGGGTGTACTCCACACGCAGTCCACACCGGCCTAATGCCTTGGGCCTAACGCTTGCAAAGCTGGACAAAATTGAGAGTAAGCCTTATTATATTTTTTAGAGGTAACAAAAATGCGTTGTTAATCAGTGTTATTCTATCAAATAACATATAACAGTAACCAAGAATAAGCCAGATTCTGTTCTTTTTATTTTGATTATTAGTATGTAATCATTAGACAGTTAGCAGAACAGAGCAGCTTTTCAGCACAATGTATATAAACATTTCCAGTATTATTAAGGAATGGAGATGAAATAAAGGACACAAGTGCTTTTCTTTATGTTCTAGCTGACACAATCCATCTCTCCGACATTGATATAATTGCTGGAACGCCTGTCCTGGACATCAAACCCTACATTCCTCAGTACGACTCCCCCGGCACCCGAATGACTCAGGACTGCCTGCAGCGGGAAGCAAACACAGAGCAGCTGAAGGCGTCTACCGCGCCACTGAATAAGGAGACAAGTGTCTCAAACTGCGAAAACACCGACGCTTATACTCAGTTGAATACAAAAATGGAGGAGGATTTGGGGAATCCTGTCTCAAAAGATGGACCTCAAACCAATAATAACGAGCAGCTTCTTCTACCAAAGGAGGTCAGCGATTTACTGGAGGAGGTTGGGACCTTTGTTGCCCAAGCGGACACATCCCAACATGGTTGTGAAAGTAAGTTCCAAGTTTCAGATTCTGCAAAACCTAACGCATCAAAAATCACTGAGGATCACCCCTGCTATGGAGAAGAGGCTTACACAGCTATTGCAGGCTGGATCAGAGATCCCCCCATTACCAGTTTGGACGTGCGCTTCACTCCTCATGCTGAAAAACAGCTGGCAGAATTCCTTTCCACACCCCTGTTAGGTGAGACCCACACTGAGCAGAGGAGGCATACATGCTTTTCCCCACAAGAGGGTGCTGTTGGGCTTGAGTTTACCTTAAAAGAAGCTATTCATAACAGAGTGGAGAAAAAAACAAACAAGCTGTTTCTCTCACACAGGACCCTCTGAAAGTGACAGACCCTGCTTTAAGTTTCTGGGCAGTCCAGAGGAGGCTGCTGCTGCCATAAAGAGCGTGCTGTCAGCAGACCCCAGGTCGGTGTACAGGAGGACCTACTGCAGAGACAGGCTCTTCTTCTTCACCATCGACTCGGCTGATGTCACCTGCTGGTTTGGGCAAGATTTTGCAGAAGTACTGCAGGTTCGACCTGTTTAGCGCCACGAGGCTTTGTGACAGGAAAGTGTCACATAGAAATCCTGTCAAATCTTATCTAAAAGTTTTTGTGCAATATACGTGTAGACCTTTACATTAAAATGATCAATAAATCATTTTAAAACAGATGATTTGTTTTGTGATTGTTTGATACAAAGCTGAGTTATTTGTAAGTTGCAATACACAAAATTGAAATGATTGTATCATTGCATTATATATTTCCATTAGTATTTTCAGTACATGGGCTTGCATGATTATATTCGAAGAAGCTCCACAACTACTGAGACAACGTCTTTCACCTTGTGCCGTTAAGGGGTGATTTCAAAATGTAATGTTTTTATGTAAACCTTTTACTTGTCTGGAGTATGACAAGTAAAGCAAAAATGCATAGCTAATAGCTCAGTCTAACCTATTCGTGTGATCATGTTTACCTCTTACCTAGTTGCAGTAACGTTGAAATCCTGTGGGGGGCAGTCAATATATTACAGAACAAGACGTCCGTCCACTGTGGAACAAAACAGTAGAAGAAGAAAAATAAGAAAAATTGACCAATCGCTGCGCAGATATTTGTGTTTTTGAAAGTAACGCGGTTGATAGCTACCAAGTTAAACGTCTGTTTCTTGATAGGTACTCAAATTACAAACTTTATTCGGACTTCAGTTGCTATGTTTGGAAGGTAATGCATTTTTACACTATTTATTTGTCTGTCTTCGACAAGTAAAGTCGTAGTTTGCCTTTGTGAGATGTTAGGAAACAAATTCAAACAAAAACGTTTGTCGCCTCAGCCAATGTCTGTTACGCACACTTTGCTGTAATTAGTTGCTCACTTGACCATTTTTTTCTTACTCTTAGCATTACATTATGTTGAAACAAACCTTTATTAAATGCCGTCTGTATAGGGTTTAAATTAAATGTCGTATATTACTGTTCACTTGTCGACTGCGCGTCCGATACGGAGGACATGTGTCATAGGTTGTTGACATAAACATTTCTTTAAATTAAAATAAATAAATGTCAATATGTATACTGGATTGAATGACGGATAATATGTCTTTTTAACGTTGTAAACGCCATTTTAAACATTTGGTTTACCAAATGTGGCTAAATTGATTTGGTTTACAAAATGTTTGGTTCGAGCTTCCAAATGTTTAATTGCAGAAAATATCACAGATTTGTTTTCAGGATGTATGCATTTTTACATAGTACATATTATATCTAGGTCTGATGAATGTAACATTTCATCCTCTTCACAGTTGTGCATGTAGTTTTTGAGAACTCGAGAGTAATGTCATCCAGAAAGTCGAGCTCCAGTGGGGAAGGCATGGTAAGACTTTTGTGTTCTGTTGTGAACAGAAATATTGTAGGCGAATGGGTCAGTTTACAGCTATTAACTAAACTGTTCATTTAAGCCCCAAAGCAGGTATGGAGAGCGCACTCCTCTCAGAAGCCTGGACAATGAGATTCCTCACTTGTCATCTAGGCTTAAGTCAAAACCACAGATGGTTTCTGATCTTGCAAAAACAACAGTGGTGAGTTTATAGGCACAGCTTGAAAGAATCTTTGTTTTCAGCCTATTTGTTATGTTTTCTTACCCATCCCTCGTTCTTTCTTTACAGCGTGACACTCCATTCTGTGAGCCAGAGCTCTTTAAGCACTGTCCTCCATTTCCTGAGGTGATACAAACCAGTCCTCTCCCTATTCATGCAACCCAGATGGCTAGTGAGCCTGGAGATGTAACATTTAAATCCTTTATTTGTGCTGGTGGAGAGGTTGTGATTTCAGATTCATCAGCACGTGCAGATGATAGTCTTATTTTTCAAGAAGACACAGCCTCATGTAGAGAAACAGATGATGCAAACATTTCTTACAGTGTGATGGAGCTGTCTGACTGTGATCACAAAGAGCATCCCTATTACATTCCAGATGGGAAAGAGCACCGTTCTGTTAACAGAGCACCAAGTCTCAGTGATATTCCCTCCTCTAGTGGGGTGGATGATCAACAAACTGCACACTTTTTTCACACTGACTGTAATGAAGACAAACAAGAGACTTGGAATTCCTTTGTCTGTGATGGAGGAGAGGGGAAAGTTTCAGATGCTACAAGTCTGCAAAACGAGACCATTCCTCCCCCTATGGCAGAGCTTCATGATCTGTCACAACACAGCAGTAGAAATTTAACTGACGACTCTGACAACCATGTCCAGCTGTGCCAAATGCAAAACGATGACCATCCAAACTGTATCACTGGAAATGGGATTACTCCTGTAAACGCCACCTTTGTTGTAATCCCAAATGGAATTGAAAATGCGTCTGAAAAGCCAGCTAATGGACTGAATGATATAACTTATAAGTCATTTAACTGCACTGGAGGTGAGATTGAAATTTCAGATGGCTCCAAACTCATAGATGAGACTGTCCCGCTACCATTTCAAAACACTGTTTCTATCCGTGACTCACTAAATATCAGTCTGGAATCAAGAAGTGTAGCTGACCAAGACCATTTAGATCATCCATACTGGAACTGTAGAAATGATTCCTCACCAACCTGCAATCTCACCATGACTCAGGAGCCATTGCCATCCTGCAGTGAGGCTGCGGGAGTTGAGCAGATAAGCCTGACAGTACCTAACTGCCAGGAAGCTGCAGAGGAGCCCGTGGCTTTCTGCTCTGTCATTTCAGCTGGTGGTGGGGCGGAAAAATCCCAGATGTCAGACAAGAGTTCTCTTCTTTCTCAGGATAGGGATACAAACTGCCAACCTCCTGTTGAACTTGTTGCTACACAAGATCCTATTCAAAATGACTCCGAACAACCCAAAAACCAATTGGAAGACAATAAAGCCATGGATGACATTTATGGATGTAGTGCGCTTTTAGTAATAGCAGAGAAAACCATTAATCTTGAGGACAGTGCAGTTCCTGGGTTAGCCCGTTCAGCTGATGTGTCTGACTGCAGCCATGTCACTGCCTCAGGAGAGGGCAGAGTGAAGCAGCAGGAGGACTGTGGATCACAAGTCTTTCCTACCAGTGGACTTCCTGAATCCAGTGAGGCAAAAGATAGTGCCATTGGTTCATCATCTGAAAAACCCCCTGCAGAGAACCACATTGAGGTTTTAAGACTCTTGTCAGAATGTCCCTCGCTTGCTTCAGGCTTGCAGTTGGGAATTCTCAGTCCTGTTGTCAAGAGAGCCTCTCTTTCTTTATTAAAGGCTCATGAAGATTTGACTCAAGGAAAATGTTTTGCTGATGATTCTCTTTTTGAAAGTGACAAAAGCTTGGTAGCTCCAGTTACCTCTGACCCTGTTGGGTTATGGGCAGAGCAAATGGACAGCCCCATGCCCCGTCCTCTGTTCAACTCCACAACATTGGGTAACAAAGCCCAATCGGTCTTGATTACAGAACAGGATGGGAATTCAGGGAGGAGGCTCTGTGAAGTTCCTCTGCCTGAGATCGAAAAGCCTGAAATCGGTAACCATTTAATCCCTGAGGGCCAACTTCAGCAGCAACTGCGGCAGATGGTGGAGTACCTAATAATAGCGTCAGGAAAAATGGGAGCTTCTGTTCTTCCTCCCGCTGCTTCCATGCCCCCAGCACAGGGAGTCACTCCTGCAGAATCCCACAACATTTGCGTGGGCACCAGTCCTGTTAAACTGGTGGACACCAGCCTTAACACATCAGGTGTTTTTGTTAGAAAGAGGGAATTCTCCGTCGTTGATTCCTGCACTGTGACAGACCCCCTCCTATGGAAGTGAGTACTTAATTTATGATGAATAGTACACTGGTGATCATTTTAATCGAACTTGCCTCTCACTAAGCTTTCTTTTGCGGTGGTCTCAGTTTGCCCGCAGGCAGTTTAGAGGGTCTTCCCAGAAAGGAGCTGGAGCAAAGATTGATGTCTAGCATGATCATGGTGGAAGCCTTGGTGCAACAACTGGCTTCATCCAGGGCTCAAGTGTGTGTGTCTGCAGGCCCTGCGCCTTCAGAGCTAAGAGAGAAACTTGTACAAACGGATCACACTGAACTCAGTCAGGTACGGGAACACACTGCATGCGATGGTAGACTATGATGATGCCCCATGGAGTACCACTGATTTTATTTTTCATACAGTAGATCCCATTTATTTGTAAGTTGGGTTAAGCTATTTGTTATGTTTTTCTGTAGACCACAATGTACAGAGACCTTTATACGGAGGCTCTGAGCAGGATTAGCGAGTTGGAGCAGGGCGACGGTTCCCTGAGAAATCTGATGCAGTCTATACAAGACACGAGGGCCACTTTGGTGAGGCGCCAGCAATCACACTACCTCTTGTTTATGTCACTGAATTAGACTAAATGTTTAAGGATTTGGTAGATAAGGAAATGTTTTAATTTTTGTATGTATTTATAATTTTTTTCATTTAGAAACATGATTGTGTTAGCTTGTGAGATAAGTGAAGTGCATATATCCTTGCAGGATTCTGTGAGCAGCGACACAGATGCTGCTCTCTCTAACATGAGAGCAATAGGTGACTTTGTTAAAGAAGACCATCAAAGCCTTGTTTCACATGTATGTAAACACGTCCTCTGTATCTTTCTCACATGGCACACATCAGCCGTCTCCTCCTGTATTTCAATCTTGAAGTTAATTCATATTCCTGTGTGGTTTAGTATGGACACATGAAGTCTCTTCTTGAAAAATCGAAGGACACGCAGACAAAAATGATGCAGAAGGTACAAGATGTTCTTCAACAAAGAAATCAGATGAAGAATCAGATGGAAGAGGCATTCACGGAGAAAGAGGCAGTGAGTATTAATCATTAGGTTTCTCTTCTTAAATAAAAACAAATTGTAGAAGGTTATGTAAAATAAATGTAGGATGTTTTGTTGCTCCTGTCAAGATTCTGATTGAAGTTGTTGAAAGCACACTACAGTTTCATTGCTTTTTTAATGTGATCTCTTTTGAAGCACTGTGCCTTATACGTGCGTCTGGTGGTCTGTTCACAGGCTTTGGGTGCGATAGGGCTGCTGAGGACACACTGTGCCACAGAGATTTCCGCACTGGAGAACAGCGTGGGGTCTCAGCAAGAGCTGTTGGTCGCCTTAAACCAAACCTACCCGGAACAGGTACGCAGATCTGGCTCTGCAATTCAGTCATGTGTTAATATTTACATCTAATTTTCTCTTTTTTTTGATCTGCTAATGCAGGTACTATTAAATAAGACATGTAATGAAACTCTGAGTTCTGCCTCTGAACTTTTGTCCCAAGCCATGGAGGAGCACTGCAGTTTGATGACTGAAGTACGTATTAACTAAGTACACACTGTAGGCATGTAACTATACCTTAAAAAAAACCCTGAATAGGAACAGAATTCAATATAATATGGTTCATCTTACAGCTCAATGCTGCCAGAGGGCTCTTGCAGAAAACTGCTCCCACCCTCCTGATGCTGAATGAGAAAGCAGCTGCTGCTTTGAGAGAGAGAGATGAACATATTTCTGAAAGAGATCGAGCAATCCAAGAGCGAGAGCAGGTCAGATAATTTAATGTTGATCAGCACCCCTTGTACCTCGTATACTGTAGAATCATTGTCCCTCCAACAACCATGTTTCTCAACAGTTTGAAGAAGAATTAAACGAAACTCATTCGAATCTCCAAAGTGCCAAACAAGAGATTGGTGATTTAAACCTGCAGGTGACAATTCTGACATCAGGTAAAAAAAAGCAAAACAAACAAATGCATATATTTCAATGTTCTTTGGTTATTGAATATCCTCTCTTTTCAAGTGCCTGAGAGCCTTTTTAAAACTTGTTAACTTTCAGAGATGGGTGTGCTGCGACAGAAGCTAACGGAGAAAGAAGAGGAGAGGGGTCAGCTGGAGAGGAAGGCCACGGAGTTGTCTGCCAACATTTCCTCTACATTGGCCTCCTACACTTTCTTGGAGCAGGCTTTGACTGAAGAGACTACTAAGTACGACCACCACACCAGAAGGATAAACAAAGAAATATGAGCCAGAATTACACACTTCACTCCTATTTTTTATTATGTTTAAAATGTTTTCCTTTATAGGCTGCAGCAGTCCTGGAAAGACGTCCAGCAAGCCAATGAAAGAGCAGATCAGTAGGTGGTTTCAGTATTGGCATTTAAGCCCAAAGCGAGCAAAGGACAATTTAATAACAGGCAAAGGAATTTATTTTGAGTGTGTTTGATCTGTGATGATTATGATTTGATCAGGGTTGATAGGGAGTTTATTTTCCATCTCCTACCTCCATCTTTACAAATGTTAAACTGTGTCCAGGTTGGAGGCGTGCCTGGGTCAGTCAGAGCAGCATGTGGGCGAGTTGAGTCTTGCTCTGGCTCAGACTGAGGAGCAGCTCGGTCAGCTGAGGAACGTCTCTCAGTCTCAGAGCCTCCAGATCCAGCAGCTCCAGGATGTTTGTGCACAGCTCAGCGGTGTGCGGGAAATGAACGAGGTCAGCTTTATATGAGGGCTGGTGATCTTTTTTTCTTCTTCTTTGGAACATTTATTTGATCATTTTTTTTATTTCTCTTTGTACGGCTTTCTACGAATAATGCTCACTGCTTTTGAAGCGTCAGTGTAAAGTAGTCTTTGGTGCATCCTAAAGGACACTTTATCCAGCTGTTGACCTGTAAGCTTGTACAAACGACACGTTCAGTGTGACACCAACTTACGGTTCCCTCCAAACGCCTCAGTTCCTGCAGATGGAGAACGAGTTGGCGAGGGAGCAGATGGTGGAGAGCGAGCGGATGCTGAGGACAAACCTGCAGGCACTCCGGGAGAGGAACATCCAATGTGAGGACCTGAAAGCAGACGTTTGTAAACTTCAGTAAGTTTAAATGAACCACGCTCATCTTTATTTATCGCACCTTTTCCCCATAGTATATTTTTCGTTATTTTCTTGTCATTTGTCAGAATGGTTTTTTCACCTCAGATTCTTGTGATAACAAAAGTGATGCAACACTTTCATGTAAAGTGGTTGACAGGCCATCAAATGGTTCATCTGAAGAAGTTTGGTTAGTGTGGGTTACTTTTGCTAAAAAAGCAATGGTTTAGAGCTTCAGTGCTCTGTACACCACTGTGGACAGATATAAGTGTAATAAAGGTCATGCTTTGTGATAACTGCCCGTCCCCTTGAGTGAGTTCATTTTTCATGGACTGAGTTTGTCCATGAGAATTTAGTTTTAACTAACTGAATGATAACTTATCTGTTTATGTGTGTGTGTTGCAGGCTCGAGAACAAAAATATGTGTGAAGATATGGAAAATACAAGATCTACAGCTGCTGCCGTGGAGCTGGAGCTCAAAGAGCGGATGGCTCAGGTGATCACTGAAATCACTTTGCTGCATCACACTCTGAGAGGACTGACCAATGAGCTCCAAGCTGCCGTCAGTGACCAGGTAATGTGGAGAACAGTAACATTGCTGGATACAGAAAATCGACATTGTTTCTACATGTTTCAGTTCCATTGTTGGATGTGTAGGAGCTTCATCTAACATCCTCTGTGAGCTAAACACAGTTCCACAGAACACTTTCTGTTTTAGTTTGAGCACATGCACATAACAGATTTTTGGTTTCCCATACACTATGGGAATCATTTTCAATATTGGTTTGGATGTCATATCTTTTATTCCAGAATCAAGAGTCACAAAAGGATAAAGAGTCTCAACTTATCCACAAAGTGGAGGGGCAGCAGCCCTCTTTTGTCGACAGCATCAAGATGGCTTTAACTGCTGAGGATGAGGATGACGTCAACTTGGAGATGCCTGCTGGATTAGGTATTACAGCTTTCTTCATGTGGGAGTTTTCTTCAGAGAAGAGTGAAACATGATGGTCTTTATCCTGTAAAAGGATCCATAGACAGCGTATCTGTTAGGAAATCTAAAAATCTAACAAAATGGTATAAGTCGATAGCTTTAATGGCATTATATAAGAACATTTAAAGTAGTGCTTTGCATTTGTTGTACTTTAATCACATATTTTTTAAAAGCATTTATTTCAATCTAATTTGGTTTAAAAAAAAAAAAAAAAAAAAAAAAAAACCCTCAGACACGTCGGAGCCACAGAGAGGGACTTTGTTCAGCGAGATGAGTGCCTTCACCCGGATCGCAGGCCTCACTCCAAAGCAGAATATGAAGGCAGGTGTGACGGAGGACGAGGAAGAGGAGCAGAGCAGCGTGACAGAGCTGCTCTCTGGGCTGAGCAGCACCGTCGCAGAGCTCATCAGCACGCTGAAGACGGTACAGCAGCGCAAAGACGCTGAGCTGCAGGAGGCACTCGGCACCATGTAAGTCTTAGTGAGGGGGTGAGTCTGATATGATCGCTGGTGTGTGCAGCTATTCTTTTGGGTTCACAGCTAAGCATTTGACAGATTAGTTGATGCTCTTTAACAACAGTTCGATTTTAAAGTTAGTAAAGGTAAAACATAAGATTCCAAAATCTCTCTGCAAGCCTCAATGCTCAGTTACAATTGGCTCACATATGATTTTTAGTTATTTATTTAAAAAAAAAAAATTCTTGGCCTGTTTATATAACACTTTTTTAAACATTTCATACCGAATCAAAGTGAATGAAGAGAAATATAAAGACGTCACTACAAGCAGGAATATGCTCCATAAGTGCAGAACCTTCCTCTTCCACCTGCTTTGATTTCTGTTCTCGTTCTCCATGTTTACAAAAGACAGATGAACATATGTGGTGACACAGGAAATCTGATTTGATCGTAAAAATCAAGTCTGTAACCGATCTATGACGAGCAACCTGAACTCTGCCAAATCAGAAAAAAAGGACATTCCAGGTGACTTGTTCTGGTCACATGTGAGCATACAGGCTTTTGAGACATGATCTTCTTATAGTTTAACCCTCATAGTTCTTTAGTTTTTAAAAACACGTATAAACACGTTTTAAACTAATGCATCAAAAATGCTTCTGGAATCATTTGTTTTTTATTGAATCAGTAAAATAGTACATTTAGGGGCAAATTGATATTTAATAAATCAATAAAATTCTGAACAAAGCATGTGCTTGTTTTACCCTCCAACAACACTTCTTGTACTTTTCTAGCTGTGGCCTGCAGGTGGAGCAGCAGGCTGCCAGCAGCAAACATGAGAATGAGGTGTGCGAGCTGAAGCATCAGCTCAGCCGTCTGAATAATGCGGTGGAAAAAGGAAATCAAGCTCTGCAGCAAAAAACTCAGGTGAGGTCTGCTGTCACCCAGAGTCCTGACCCCACATCTGTGGGATGCCCAGCAAAGTTCAAATTATTATTGTTTGTTTATTTTTTTATTTTCTAAACAGGATGAGAAAACTTTGACTAAGCTTATGGCAGATGTTCAGGAGGCCCAGGAAATTCTAAATAAACACAAGACTGACAACAACGTAAGGCAACAGATACATGATAAAAGTCCTGCCTGTTTTCAAATGTTTGTGTTAATGTTAATTTGTACGTTGTTTAAAAAAAACAATATCAATCCCCCCCAGGAATTGAGAAAAGAGGTGACGGAGCTTCGCCGTGCTCTGCAGCAGTCCAAGGTGGAGGCTCAGTTCCTGCGGGAGGAGTTGAGGAAGGCTGGCGGCCCGTCAGCCAACCCAGTGCATTACATGGAAGACCAGATCCAGTTATTGAAAGAGGTGAGTACATTCATGGTGTGAGCAGTGACTAGTCACAAATCCTGTGCTTTTCTTATAATTTTCTGTCCGGTCTTGAGTAAATTCAGAACCTTTTTAATTGTTCCTGTCCATGACGCCTCCGATTTGATCCCCAGGTGGAGAGACTAAAGTCGAGCCTTCAGGTGGTGGAGCTGGCCAAGACTAAACTCCTTGAACGAGCTAAGCGACATGTAATCACTTCTAAGAAATATTACCCCAAGCTTAAAACCACTGTCCTTCATTTTTTCGTGTCATTGGAGTTATTTGAAGACTTTCCCGTGACAGGTTGTTGTTGATGGTATGTCATGTCTTACAGCAAATCATCCATCAGACAAACCAACAGAAAAGTGAGAACGAGCTTCAGATATTAAACCACATGATCAATAAAGTCAGAGAGGTGAGATATATTCCCTGTTTCTTTTTTTTCTATAACTCTTTAATTTTTTGCCTGTAACATATTTGTATGAAGGGTCTGTTTTTATTTTCATTTTTCAGACGCTGCTGTCTCTGCCAGAAGTTTTGAAGAATTGTGAACAGCTCCAGCAGCTGCTTGAATACATTGGCTGACATGTTTGCGATTGTCGGCAGTGTTTTGTTTATTTATGTCTCCTATATTTTAGCTTTTCCTGATACTAAGTGTTGTTATTATTCTAATACTATTAAACATGTTACGAAGTCTTAAAAGTTCTTTGTTCCAAATTCTGCTGCATTTTATAAATGAGATGAGGAATTAATAACTGTTTTCAATTTCTTTTATTCTCCATTTCCACGTGTGACCACAGACAGCCCTGCCTGTATGCCCTCAGTATATCTTATACTTATCAAACTGTCCTTAAGATAAAATTTATCTTATCTTCCCGAACGTTACACAGTTGGATGCCTTCTTTTGCTGTGATCAGCAAAACTTTGTTGCGTTACTATGGTTTGATGAATAGCCTATTTTGGTCATTCCAATGCTGCTCTCAGTCACCAATTTATCCCTCGATGAAAGATTTGTATCCTGAGTAGGGAGGTCTTCTAGGATGACTGTGACCTGCTGCATGGAGTTGTATGAAAATGATGTATATTTTCATACAACTCCATGCATTTGCATGTACTAGATTTCATCTCAAATGAGCACCATCATCAAAACATCAGTAATGGAATATTTGTCTTGTACGAGGGATGCTGCATAGGCTTGTCAGGGAGCACTGAAGCTGCTTTGTGCTATTTTTTTGTTTTATTTTTGCCTTGTTTACCTTACACTGAAGGATTAATCAGTCTCTATCAATCACATTAGAAAGTCTTACTCTATTTTGACTGCACAATTCATTAGAAGTTTGAAAAGGTGTAAATGTAAATGTCCACAAAACAAATATTTGCTGAGGTTGGGATGCATCAACACACTTTTCTTCCACTAAAGCTTTCAGACTTTAATATTAAACATTGATGTTGTTGCCACGTACCTTTTTTGAAGCCAAAACATTTTCTTTGTTGCACCAATTGCCTGCTTTTATGTAATTGATTTTAAAAAAACTTGTAAATAAGCCAACACTAAATCACCATTTTTAAAACTGCTATATAATAAAATCATCGCCACCTAGGAAAATCTAAATCTTTTCAGCAAAGGAAATGAACGTGATGTATTTTGTTTCAAAAGCTTTTAAGATGGTCAATCGATTCTAAACCAGAGCCGTTTCTTTACAAGTCTCGTCTTGTTCGATGTGCAGAATGTGGAAGGGGCTTCTAAGCTTTTGTTGTTTTTTTTTACTTTGTGGGATGAAATATCAGGTTTCGAGTCAATTCATTTTCTTGATTAGTGGATTTAAGTGCTGTGCTGATGTCTTGACGTGATAATTGAAACCGGTCATGGTTACTGCTAATACCGTGGCTCCAGACAACACTTCAAGCCAGCTGAGCCGAAACGCTAAGGAACGCAGCACAGGCCAAAGAGAAAAAACAGTGCCCCCCCCCCCCCCACCTTTAGCTTCCCTCCTCGACCATATAGCACTTATTGTATAACATTTGGGTTATTATGTCTGTTAGAAATGTATAGGGATAAAAAGCATCTGGGTGCAAATCAATCTTTAAAATTTTAAGCAAGAGAATCACGAGTGCGATCTTTTGTCACCATTATAACTGCTGTGTTTCATCAGTAGTTAAAATATTTTATTCTTGAAGAGCAAAAGTGCCATATCTGTTTATTTACAAAGCAGAACTAAACTAAACAAATTTAATCTTGCCAATAGAATACATGCAGATAGACAAAAACTGTGTTTCTTGTTTTTTGTTTTTTTTACATATACCACTTAAAGCCTAAGACCAAGAAGAACAATAATTTATATGAAGATCATTACGGCTGTCATTGGACATTCATGACATTTAAAAAAGAATAAAGCAACAACTTGCAGGTATGCATAAAAGGACATGTACTCTCTTATCATAGCAGTAAGTTTCCATGAGTACTGAAGATGAGCTTCAGGTTAAGTTTATCAAAATCACATTTGTGTCTCCAAAGAGGTCAGTCTGTTCAGTTTTGTCCTTAAACATCATGAACATAGAAAGCAGTGTTTGTGCGTCAAAATGTCTGGCTCACTTGATGCCCCCTCCTGTCTCCGTTCTTTTGAAAGAGATGGTCAGATGCCTGGTTTGACAGTTTCAGCGACTTATATTGCGGACACGAATCGGTCTATGCTCCCGGGGTATGTGGGGTGTCTCAGGTATCCTCCGGTGTTTGCGACAGGGCCTGCCGCGCTGTTATACTGGGAGAAAGAGCCCAGCTGTACCGGGGAGACCCTTCCGTAATGGTCCACTGCTTCCACGCAGCCGTGCGCCGAGGCGTGGATCCGACCGGGCGTCGCGTAGCCCTGAGAGTGACCCTGTCCGTAGGAGCCCTGGTGGGCATGGTTGTGTGGGTGGCCGTTGGGTCCTGAGTAGGTGTAGGAGTGATTTGAGGATCGAGGCGGCGCTGCACCCCCACACGGCTGACTCTGGAACCCCGGCGCTCCTAGGCCGCAGGGTCCAGCTCCGTTGAGGAGGCCGTCGGGGCTAAAGCCCCGGCCGGACTGCTGCATGGCCTCCGCCCCCTGACCGGCCAGCATGCTGCCGGCGGCCGGATGCCCTATGATGTTGTTGATGCTGAACATGCGGGTCTGACCGTGTCCAAACCCGGGAGGGGATGAAGACGGGTAGTAGGCAGAGGGCAGCTGCTGCCCGTAGGTCGGGCTGACTGTCATGTTGGAGTAAACTGAGTTGGTGTACGCGGCCGACCTGGAAATCTGGACGGGGGAGAAAACCGGCGTCTCGTGCGCGTACGAGGCGTATGTGCTCAGGTCGCAGCGCTTAAACCTCTTCCTGCGCCTCAGAAAGCTGCCGCTCTCAAACATGTCCTCCGCGTTGGGGTCCAGCGCCCAGTAATTGCCCTTACCGGGCCGCCCCGGCTCTCGGGGGATCTTGATGAAGCAATCGTTGAGCGTTAGGTTATGGCGAATGGAGTTTTGCCACTTCTTGGAATTGTCTCTGTAGAAGGGGAAGCGCTCTGTGATGAATTTGTAGATCCCCCCCAGGGTCAGTTTGCGGTCAGGGGAGTTGGCGATCGCCATGGAAATGAGAGCAATGTAGCTGTATGGTGGTTTCCCCCGCTGCAGGGGTCTCTTCCTCCTGCGACCTCGGGGCTGCTCCTCTGTCTGTGGCGACGGATTGGAGGAGGGCAGCGTGGTGTCTGCAGGAGACACTTTCTCCACTTTGACTACCGGCATTGTCATCGGCACTGTGGGGAAAGAGAGTTGCTTTTTAGAGACTGGGTAAATTTAGTGCTGAAGTTTGTGGTTCAAAGTCAAAGTTTCTTATTCTAGACTGCATGAATCAAAACAAGACACCTTCTCAACATGAAATATTCCAAGAAAGCCCACATCGTTGTCAACAACTCACCGTCTTTGAGTCAAAATCCAGGCAATCTTCAAACTGCAGCAGAAGTAACTTGCTCCTCGGAGAAGTCTTCTTTCGTTTTTCTCTGTGGTTCGTCGGTAGCCTAAATGGAAGCGTTAAGCTGTGAGAGTGCCATTTGTGTTGTTTAAGGGTTGAGAAAGAATGAGTCACTCGGTATTACCTGAAAAGTCTATTACCTCCAGAGCAGCTTTCCAGCCACACCCCCCACAGCATCACATGCTTTCAACATACCTGAGCTTTATCTGGGTCTATTGTTCATGGCTGTCAATGACAGAATGCTTCGTTTTGGGAATCCTATTAAAAGCCATTGGTGTAAATCTTTGTTGTGTGTGTGTGTGTATAGCTTTCATGATATCTTGTCATGAAAAAAAAGCTGTTATTTAGATCTTATTTATCTCCAGACATTTGTATTCCTGAGCTTTGTAATACCAGAATTAAATGATATATTCTTTGAACTTCTTAGAGTTATTCTGAGCACCTTTTTCTCTCAAATCTGGTTCAAATAGCTAAACTAAAACCGTCAAAACAAATAATGTTTCCTCTTTGTATTCAAATTTTCCTCGAGGCAGACCTCAGTTGATTTTAAAATGTCTAAAATGGTCCATGTTGTTTTGATGTTAAACACTAAATCACCTCTTTAGTGGTAACTTAACCTATGAGTTGTTTTTCTATCTTACTTCCTTGTTTGCTTTGTGCCAGTGGTTGGACAACCCAGCTGTGTTAAGGGATGTAAATGTTTTCTAGACAAAGGCCATTCTGTGATTTCAGCATGCAAAATATAGGCCATCATCATGAAGCCTGGAAGCCACCTGAAAGAGCAGAATATCCAACTCTTCACATAGGAATAGTCTCTTCACTCGACTTCTGTTTAAAATCTTATCTAATACTTGTTAGATATATCAAAACGTCCTTCCCATGAAATGTTGGCTTCTTCAGACAAATTGGTGGAACCGGCACATTTCCTCACCTGTCCCGGTTTTTAAGCTGGCTTTAAAGATTTCACTGTCATCGGGGATGCTCGGGGCAGCTCTGTGATATGATGTCAGGGGACTCCACCGGGCTTAGGTTCACCACCTTAATCTCTTAACCAAACAGTGAAAAATGCAACAGCACACTCCCACAGCTCAACACCAGACCGGGTTCACACTGCAGGCATGAGCCCTCAGCACTGACAGAGAGAGAGAGAGAGTTGGTTTGTTTTAGACAAACAGCCCGATGAAAAGTTTAGGCCTGGAGGGAGGGCTGCGGATGTGGCTATCCCGGACCGGAGCCGCAGAACCGTGCGACATGATGAGAGGATGCCGTGTGTGATGAGACGATGACCCTTTCTGAGGTTAACATGAAGATGTACAAACCTGTTTAATGTTAGTACAAGTCACTTTAATGTAACACTTTGTGTACTTTGCAAATAAAGGGGTTAGGAGTAATGAAGATGACATTAGGAGTAATAAAGATGACATGAAAGTTACACTAGCAACAATCATACTATGAGAGGGAAACATTTTTACTGGGCAAGATTGAATCTTAGAGTAAAAATGTATTCAGTTTGAAATGATCCCACTATAATCTTTTTATAATCTCTAAAAGCCATTAGAGGCTTTTAAAGGGCTTAGGTAAGACTTCCACCCAGTCAAAATTATATTTAGATTTTCATGATTTATACAAATCTCTCATACAAAGAGTTAGGGGAAAAAAAACTTCACCTGAAAAGGGCCTATGCTGCAATAAGTGCAACAATGAATAGATACTAGATAAGTGCCATAATAAGTGGATTTTCTTTGACTGTTCTTTCTGACATCATGGCAAAGACATTTTGTGCGGTGGCAAATTTGAAATAACAGCATTGTTTGTCTTCATAGTTTTCCCTCTTTTCTCTCTAACTGCTAACTTAAATTTCCTTCCGGGAAAACTACTGAACACTCCTGGCTATCACGGCTGTATTGTCTTTTACTTTGCGTTCCTTAAAAGAAGCATTAAACGTTCCAAAAAGTTGTCATTGTGAGATTGATGTATGTGGGAAGGAGACGCTCTGTATGTTTTGGTAATTAAGTCATTAATCATATGTGCATAAGATGTCCTGGTTTGAATTAGTCTAGGGTGCAACTGAAAAGTGCTTTGTTTGAGATGATCTGAGATAACAAACCAAATTAAATCACCTGTAGGTTTTTCTTGAGTGACTCTTTCTGAGGTCTTTAATGCTCCTGTGATGGCAACAGCTGTGGCTTTGTCCTTTTTTCATCTTCCTAAACTCCTTGAGAGGATTTCTCCACACTTGTGACAGAAAATAGCCTTGTTATGGACCGGTGACCTCTCCATGGTGTATCTACCCTGAAAATAGCTGAGCTTAGCTTCAGCCCACCCTGCCTCTGGAAAATGAATGAATGGTCAATGCTTGACCAGAATTTGCGGTCAGTGTTTTAACTCAGGAGCACTGGTGGAGATTGAAGCCACGATTCATATTTGGCGAGAAACTGAATAAGGGACTTACAAAAACAGTTTTTACAGAGTCTGAGTAGTTCATGGAGGTGATTCTAGTTTTAAAAATGTACACAGTAGGAAAAGGTGTATATGGTGGATTGAGTTGGTACAGAGACTGTTGTAAGACCACGACAGTGTACCTGGTTTCTGCACTTCAGCCCCAACGGTTGGGATAGACGAGGAATGCCATTTGCAATAACTGCTGAATTTAGCGAAAACAGCTTCTTATGCTTGAATGAATAATTTCTCAGGATCCTTTTGGTACCACTTGGATTTACCCCTTGCACTTTCTACAGTTTACCTATTCACTTTGGTTTGGCTCTTGTTCAGCTTTAAGAGACAAATATTTGTTCTTGAACCTTTTATCTTTGTATTTTTGCAGGTGGATTGGACATATGCCACTGGAAACTGTCGTCTTGCCAGGTGCAATAAAAATAGAGATAAAATTAATATTGCCCTTTACCAAAATATAAAAAACAAAAATGATTGTGGTGCAGACTGCCCGCTGTTATCAGGTATATTTTCCTGTGTACAACAGGGTTTTGAAAAAAAAAAAGACCATTAAATGATGCAAAAAGTCTTGGATGCAAAACATTTCAGACACCGTATGTATAAAATATAATACATATGGCATTAGGAGGTTCATAAACATGATTAAAAATACTAAATGTTTACTTTAGTGTTTTCAATTATTTAAACATCATTCTCAGTGGATCATTTTGTGCAAGTTATCTGTTGGGTTCTAACCATTCCTTTTTAAATGGGTTTTTAAATCTGAATTAATTATCGTATCAAGTGCAGTTTCTTTCATTTTGTCCAGGTTTCTCCATCGCTGAGGTCCTGCAGCTCGTGCTGCACACAGATGCCTAAACCTCCTCGAAGAGTCCTTTGGTTCAGCATCACCGAGTGTATCTTGGAGCCTCAAGGCCTGAGGACCATGGTGTTATGCATTGTTGCGGCTGTGAGAGGCCTCCACCCCCCACCTGTCCATCAATGGGCGGCGTAAAGACGCAAATTGCAGCTGGAGGCTGAGACGGCCGAACTGGGGAGCAGGACACCAGCCAACGCAAATGAAAGGCTCTTCACTTTGTATTTCACCAATTTTTCTGGCCGCGGCAGCGAGAAACGGCTCTCTCAAAACAAAGACAAACAAATCAGACATTTGAATTTGAACACTTAACTTTAACCATTCAGTGGCTGCTGCTCTACAGGTGGTAGCCGGCTTTTGTTCCGATACAAGACAGAAACTGACACACACTCAGAATGTGGAGTTGTGGAGGGAAAAAAACACACAGTAGAGAAAGAACAAATATTAACCCTTTAAAATCTACACTTATAAAAAAGGACAGAAAATATTTCTTAACATGTTTTTCATTTATTTGGAGCAATTTTACCCCGTATAGGTAGCTGTGGTGACATTTTATGGTAAAAGTGTGAAATCTAAAAAAAGAAATGTCATAACAAGTCTTCAATTTAGGCATCACATACCTAAATAAGTACACACTTATAATTAAATAAGTAATTTTAGAGCTAGTTCAGGTAAATATGCTTCCTTTAGTATATCCTGTAATTAAACAGTGTAAAATGTGTTCTGCTAAACGGTTGAGCAGGATGTTAAGGGGTTAAAAGTCTGTCGGAAACCTTTTGAATCTTTGATGAAGGCAAGTGTATTTGATATCATTGATCTTTCTATTAAAAAGCATTTTGCTTTTTAAAGGTGTGAGCCGGTATTTATTCATAACTTTTTCCTCCATCTGGCGCAGGGCTTGTCTCTCTAATACAACATTTATAACCTCTTAGAAAACAACACGATCTCCTGATTTGATTTAAAATCAGAAGTACATTTGTACATCATGTGCTGATTTTGAGTCTTACAGACAGATTATCACATATTGGTCACAAAATAGAAAATAAATAGTGAAACTAAAACAGAGCAATTTTCATCAACTAACAAAATTTTTTGCACCACATTTTATTCACCGTAAAAATGCCTAATTTCCTTCTGGAATCAAGTGTATCATCTCTATTTGACTCTACAGTGTACTGTTTTGTGTTTCTGTGTGCATGTGGGTGTGTGTGAATAAGATTCATGACACTGAGAAAGTGAAGGCCTCTTGTTTGCATTAGCAGCTGCAGGGGCTTGGTGGGGATGCAAAGTCCTGACGGTTGAGTTGCTTCCAACCTGGGCCAGTTTACATAACTGAAGCAGTGCACTTCCTGGGGCGCCTGCCGTTAAATCACCTTGTGTGATGTGTGACCCTTGTGTGAATACACAGAAGGATACACTGTTGCAGCAAATACAATATGGAATGTGTTATATGGGAAAAAGTCAATTTCAGTTAT